CAACTGATACTGACATTGTGTAGACTTCTTGGTCTATTCTAAATCCTCTCAACAACCAACTATAAATTGACTGTAATGTTCTCTCCGCAGGCCTATCGATGCCCTTAGATGTCATTACAAAATCTGACAGATCAACACCATCTGGACCAAATCTAATATTTCCTTCACCGTGAACTATCTGAAATGTGACCTTATTTGACATTGTGCCTGATGAAAACAATAACTGCGTTAACCTCGCATTTCTGTACTACGCCCTAAGTTACATTCTCTACAATATTGTTCTCCAAAATTCTAAAAGTAGGTTACATTCTCTAGATCAAACTAAACTATATCTTACAATTAACACTATTGTCTATGTCTCAATTCATACTATTATATTCTATGCTCTGGATCTACACATATGTGCTGTGTGCTACAGATATGCTAAAATATATGGAACTAAAACAAAAACGCAACATATATACTCAAACATAACATATTAGTACAAATGCAAAAGATGTATGGGAGCAAACATGTGATGAAGTGAGCGAACCAGCAGGGCTTCGCCGCTCCCCTTCTGCTGCCCTCCCCTCTCTCTCTTTCGTTTTTTTTTGGATTTTTAGTGAATATAATGAAATTTCAGAGAGGGGGGACTGGGCTTTATAGGGGGAGGAAAAAATCGCCCTCCCCCAGGGCGGCAAGGGGGCCGCCTGCAAAATTCCATGCCCCCTCGCCGCCCATTTGCAGGCGGCCCCCCGCACAGTACAAAATCGCCCTAGCAGAGGGCGGCAAGGGGGCCGCTTGCAAATTTCGTTGACGGCCGTCGCCCGAGAGCGAACGGCCGTCTGCCACGTCATTTTCGCCGCCCTCTGGGATGGCGATTTTTAAAAATCGCCCTCCCAGAGGGCGGTAGGCGACTACTTCCGTCAATTTTCAAAATGGAAAATTATTTTTGTAAAACTTTTAATAAAAAAAATTAAAAATAAAAAAAAATTCCTTTATGTGTGCAAATCTAATTGGGCTGTAGAAAGCTGGCCAAACTGATAATATGGGCTGTCAACTTAAGGGGAAGGAATAAGTCTACTTTACCTACCTCGGTTTTTGCCTATGATGATCGAATAAAAAAAAAGAGTATCCGGTTTTAGTTTGGTTCGTCCGGTTATTATTTTTGTCGCCGTTTTTTCTTCACGCGGAACGGGATTTTTCCCGCGCAGGGTAAGTCCTTTTTTTTTTGTCTTTTTTTTCCGTTCTCTGCTCTTATTTGCATGCGCATAGCACGCCCCGCCTCAGCCGCCAATCGTGCGGTTTTCTTGGTCAGTGCAGTTTATTTTTTTGTCACCCTTTATTTTCACGCGAAAAGGTTTTTTCTCCGCGTATGCGGGAAGTCCCTTTTTTTTCTTTTTCTTTTTTTTTTTTGTCTTTTTCCTGATCTCTGATCCGATCCGCACGCGCTTAGCGTGCCCCGCCTGAGCCGCCAAGCTTCCGCTTTCCTTGGTCTGAGCGGTTTATTTTTTTTGCTTTTTTTGCACGCGAAATGGTTTTTTTTCTTCGCACGCAGTAAGTCCGGTTTTTTTTTGTCTTTTTTCGATCTCGTCTGGTCTGGGCCGAACCCTAGCGCCACTGCCACGTTCGATCTACCTCCCGTATGTTTTCTACTCTAACTGATTGCAAAAATCGATTTCACATTCCTCCATCATCATTTTCCATATCCTGGACTTTAATTTACTGAATTTAATCCCTATTTAAAAGTCGTTGATCATGGCAGGTCAACAAGCTTTGATTCGCTTCGATTTTGGGGAAAAACAAGGAAAAAAGGAGATTTGGTGGATCAAAAAATCCTCAACCAATTTAATTTTGGGAGATCGAGAATAATTCAACTGAATTTGGCATTGTACAAGCCCGGGATTACCTTTTGGAGCTTGACGACCGAAGAAAGGCGGGGCGAATGGAGGGAGGTAGCGGACTGGATTAGGACTAACAAAGGTTTTAGTGGACTGGGTTAGGACTAACAAAGAAAAAATATTGTGCTTTCGGTTTAAAACCAAGAAAAAAATTCATTAATTTTTTAATTATAGTGTATAGTGATTCCAATGACTTAGCTCTTAATAGTTGTTGTTGTATCATAAAAAATGTATTTACCCGTTGCAACGCACCGGTATTTTTTTTAGTATTATAAAAATTTAAGATGTTTTTGCCACTGATTTCGTCCGTCGCCCCCCTTCATCATTCATCAGGTTCATCCGATTCCCCATTTTCAAACGCTTCGTAGTCGGATCAGGATTTCCGAGTAAAACTAACAAAGCCATTTTGTAAAATTAATTGGATCGGTTTGTGGCAGCAACGATCATGGCCCAAGACACAGCCCACGAAGCCAGTTGCACGGCCCACCATTTGCTACGTATGCAGGTTATACAGAGACCATATAACAGATGGTCTGCAATTATACGTGGAATTCAAAGTATTTCTTTTACCAGCATGTATCTATTTGTCGGGTGATTTCTAATAAAAAAAATCACCCAATTTTTTTTACCCTTTATTTATATCCAACGGACTACAAAAGAAAAATAACAAATACATATTAACTTACACATTATTTTTATCAAAATTACAGTACACTTACATGTCAAATCAACTAAATTTACAAATGTAATTTTAGTTATATAGGACTGTAATTTTAAAATATAATTTTATATTTTAAAGAAAATAATAAGTACATATTTACTTACACATTATTTTTATCAAAAATTACAGTGCACTTATATGTCAAATCAATTAAATTTACAAATGCAATTTTAGTTATATAGGGCTGTAATTTTATTTTTTTTATTTTTTATTTTAGTTTCAAATGTCTTAATTTTTCAATGGTTAAAGAAATCAATTTTTATTTAGATGTTTAAGATATGTTAAATTTGTTGTATCGATTAGTACTTAATTTGACATGTAAATTAACATAGAGATATTTCTTAATTAGACATATGAAAATTACATACTTCACGTATTTTATTCACACGACAAGAATAACACACCTTAACTCCCTGTCGACCTCATCCACGGCAATTGCTGCACAAATCTTGGCGCAAAGATCATGTGGCTAAAAAAACGTCAAATGCCAAGAAAAAAAATCACGCGGGAGATGTTTAGCAATTTTTCCCTCTAACTTGGTTCGGACTCGAAACATACTAAGGAAAAGGCTAATCAAGAAAACACTAATTACTTTTGGTAATCTAGACGCTAATGACTCTACTAATGAACCGTGACTAATTAACCTATCAACACTGGAATTGAACCAATATATCTTATAACTACTTAAAAAATCTGTAACTTTCCATTCTTCACATCAATTTTTCGTCAATGAGTCCAGTCGAACGATGGCCTCCGTTCCCACACGCGCGAGTAATACATCACGTAAGATGGATAAAACACAAATTCAAATATAGATACAAAATCCAATCAGACAATCCAAAGAAAGAGAAAGGAACAGAAAAAATAATAAAAAACACACAAATCTTATCTTAATCTTCGTCATCGCCTGATCTACCCGTGGAAGCCGCCGACGCCGCCTGATCCACCCATGAAAGCCACGGGAGGACGTGCCGCCGCCATCGCACACAGTGGGAGAGGGTGCCGACACCGCCGTGGCCACCAGATCCGCCTATGGGAAGCTGCCGACGCTGCCTGTGCCACCTATGAAAGCCGCGAGAGGACGTGCCACCGCCGTCGCACACAGTGGGAGATGGCGCCGCCACCGCCGCCGCTCATGTTGAGGGAGGGCACTGCTGCCGCTCATGTTAAGAGAGGGCGCCGCCGCCGCCGCCGTCGCTTGCATTGGGGAGGGCGCCGCCACCGCCGCCGCTCACGGTGGGGAAGGGCCCTGCCGTTGTCGCTTGCGAAGGGGGTCAAAAAAATTATTTCTAGCTAAATGGAGTCAACAAATAATGTAATTATTCATTTTTCATGATATAGAATCAGAATTAGGTATAGATTTAATTCATTGTTTATGTCTAGGAGTATCCCATATAATTCCCATGAAACTATAAAATATCCATAATTATTATCATAACATTAGTTTTTTTCGTTGCAACGCACGGGCACTTTTTATAGTACAAAGATAAAAACATTACATATAAAGTGTCGTGTACAAACCAAAATTGTTTCTGGCGTCTTAAAACCACAAACTTTTCATTAGCGTGAGGGTTCACAAGTATCACTACATCGAAATTCAACCGCAACAAAAAAACTGAACTAATTTTTTACATATTTCACAAGAAAACTGAACTAATTTTTTTTTACATATTTCAATCAAATTTCATTCGAATTTTCCTTTTCGAATTCAAATTTATGGAAAACCATTCGAAAATCCCCTCAGGATCAATTTTCGAACCGGTTCACGAAATCTCGTGATTTTTCTAACCATTTTCAACTTTTCATCGCTATTGTAGAGTTTTTTTTTTTTGAGTAAAGTCCAGTGATCACTGGTCCCTAAACTTGTACCGCTGTGTTATCCCGGTCTCTAAACTCGCAAATCGACCGTTCAGGTCCTCAAACTTGTTCGATTGTGTCATCCGGGTCCCTAAACTTGCAGATCGGTCGTTTAGGTCCACCAACTTATTCAGTTGTGTTACCCCGGTCCTTAACTTGGATTTGAATATCATCTAGATCAAATAGGACGGTCTAAAGACTTTATATTTAAAAATAATTCATAACTTTTTCATGTGAACTCTAATGAAGACAAACTTTATATCAAACTTGTAGCCCTCGACGCGATCTACAACTTTGTAGTTGAATTTTTTTTATTTTAAGTCATTTTTTGTCCCAAAATGTAATATTAAAATTAAAATTTCAAAATCTATAAACATGCAACAATATTTTGGGACCCTAAACAGTTTTAATTCAAAAACTTTTCAACTACAAAGTTGTAGGTCACGTCGAGGGCTACAATTTTGATATAAAGTTTATCTTCACTAGAGTTCACATGAAAAAGTTTTGAATTATTTTTCGATATAAAGTTTTTAGACCGTCCTGTTTAGGGACCGGGATGAGACAACTGAACAAATTGTAGGACCTAAACGAGTGATTTGCAAGTTTAGGGACCAGAATAACATAATCGAATAAGTTTGAGGAACTGAACGGTTGATTTGCGAGTTTAGGGACCAGGATGACACAACGGTACAAGCTTAGGGACCGGTGATGGACTTTACTTTTTTTTTTTTATTTATTAACGATATTGTAGAGTTGGCGGCGATCGACCGAGGCACCGCCCAAAACCTTCCCCATCTTCCTCCCGCGCCGCCGTCGCCGCCGCTTCCTCCCCAACTCCCCACAGAAGACCTCCCGGACTCACTCGCCTGCATCCCTTCGAAGCGCTGCGCGCGCGCGGCCGTGTCCGCCGGCGCCGCCGGCAATGAACCTCTCGGACGACTGGCGCTTCCTCTTCCCCGTCTCCTCCGTCTTCGCGCCGCCGTCCCTCGCCACGTCCTCCGCCGCCGCCGCATCATACGGGCCCCTCCTCTTCTCCCCGCTCCCGCCGCACGCCACGCTCCTCGCCCTCCCTTCCCCCTTCCAGCCGCCGCACCCCTCCCGGCGCGGCCTCCGCCACCTCCTCCGCCACTTCGTCCGCTCCACCTCCTTCCTCCCCTTCGCCGACCTCGACCCCCTCTCGGGGGCGCTGCTCACCGCGCCGTCCCCGCCCTTCCCGGCGCCCTCCAACCTGCTCGCCGTCCTCCGCGCCCCCTCCTCCTCGCGGTCCCTCGTCGTCTTCTTCCCTTCCGGCGAGAACGCGGAGCAGGTCTCCTACGTTACCCTCGACCCCGTCGCCGACCCCACCACGCCGCTCTCCCACTCCGTGCAGAGCGATGGGTTCATGCACCCCAGGCACCGCATCCAGCAGCTTGCCACCACGGCGTCCTGGTCCTCGTGGCCGTCGCGGTCACGCGACAGCTCTATCGAGGGGTTTCTTCTTGCTGCGACGTTGTACTCGGTGAATTGGTTCAAGGTTGAGTCGCGGGGTTCTGGCTCCCCCGCGCTCGTGCCCGCGGCCAAGCAGGCGTTCGACGCTGCTGTTGTGCACGCGTGCTGGAGCAAGCATTTGCAGTCGGAGTGTGTAGTGCTGCTGGAAAATGGGCAGCTGTGCTGGTTCGATCTGGATACACGGCGTGGAGGCAAGATGAAGGTTGGTTTTGGCAGCAAGGATGACCTGGGGGACTGGCTAAGCTGCGAGTACGGGGCGCAACCGTGGACAGTGATCGTTGCGAGCACGGCGGCCATCCTTTTGGTTGATATGAGATTTGGGGATCATGGTGAATACAAGGTTTTAGCAAGAGTTGGGATGGAAGGGTTGTTTGAAACTGATCCTTTTGTCAAGACTCAATGTTACCTTGCATTCTGCAAGGCTCCGTTTGATGATTTTCTTATATCGGTGGTGACAGAGCGTCACCTGATGGTCTTTGATATCAGACGGCCTTTGATACCCGTGTTGGCTTGGCAGCATGGGCTTGATAACCCAAATCATATTGCTATGTTTCGATTATCTGAACTGAGGCCTTCTAAGGAGCATGAGTGGGCATCAAATTCAGGCTTTGCCATTCTGGTTGGTTCACTATGGAGCACTGAATTTAATCTATTCTTTTGTGGCCCTAAGGAGCAAGACGCTACAGAAAATGCTCCCCTATATGCTTGGGATCTTCCATCACGGATTTCTTTGATAGGTCAGCACTGCAGCTGCAGCATTGGACTTATGGAAGAGGTGTTCAAGGGGGTCGTTCCAGGACATGGCTCTGCATCTCAACTAATTAGGAACTACATCATTGGTTACCACGTGCTTCCGAACACAATGTTGGAGTCATCATTCACTGGCTTTGCTTTGATCCGTTTAACATCATCGGGGAAGTTAGAGATGCAAAGGTTCCGTGCCTCTGGAGATTTACATGATGATGCCATTTGTGATGAATCACAACATAAGTCTGTGGGTTCTAGCTCATCCATTTCTCTTGACACTCACGGAGAAAATTTTTCTGAAAGATATGAGTTTCTGAAGTTGCATTACCTATCTAAATTTCTGAAGGGCAATCTGCGCAGCTCATTGGAGAATCATGATTCTGATGTCAACAAACGTTCCCGCCATATTATTATTAGTGAAGATGTATCAGTATTTGCAAAGGATAACTCTGCGTCTTGTTCTCAGTCAGTTTCAGATTTCCTATGCAATGCTAGTGCGCCCATGAACATTTTCGAAATTGCATGTCAAAGCATATTGAGCAGACTATCTTCAGATATCCTTCTTGTTGCCTTCTCCAAATACAAGGACATGCTTGCAAGCACCAATAAAAAGCGCATATATGAATATCTGGAAGTTCCTGCATGTTTCCCAAATAGTAATAAACTTCGGCCTTACCTGTTGGCAAAATCTTCAAGCATTAGTTGGAATCTGACGAGCAAAGCAAAATCTGGAAATTCTCTTGTTGGTCCAGTACTCCCCATACCTGTTCTGCTCGCGATGGAAGATAGCAACAAGGGTATAGACAGCCCTTCTCGGGAAGATTCCAGCTCAGTAAGCCATCGGTGCAGAGAAGTTATTGAAGCCTTTGTTCCTGAAATATCAATTGCTAATACAGATAACTGTAATGGATGGTCTGCTTCACAAGAGGTGAAAGATGATAAACCATATTTTGTTTATGAGCCTCAGACTGATAGGCCCACTCTTGATGAGGCTGCTAGAAAGAAGGATAAACAAACACAGAAGCTAGATGACCCTTCATGTTTGCATGCTCCTACAGCACCACCTATGGATGAAAACTTTATGACATTTGTTTGTGGAAGAGCTGGAATTCCTCATTCTGGACCTGAGCAAGCTGCATCCAATTTGTTTGATTTCAGCCCAGTGAGGATGAAATTTGAGTCTCCAGCTATAGACATACAGCCTGCTGAGGAAAAAGTATATAAATGCTTGAAGAAGCAATTTTTAGCATGGCAAAACGATTTCAAGCCATACCAAGACTTTTGTAACTCATATCAAATACAAAAGCCACCGCAGTAGGCCTTTGCTTATGCTGATACTTGTAATATTGCATTAGAAAGACTTGGGTTTCGGGAAAGTATTTCTTTCCTGATCTGGAGTATGCCCCTATATTTGCATATTATCATTTTGGGTATTTGGATCAGGTAGGATGAACCCACTTGACTTTTGAATCATTTTGTAAGCTTTAGCTAACATCTTGCAATGCTTTATGGTTTCAATTTGAAGCTAGTTCTTTGGCCATTCTTTATGCCGAAATACAGTTTTAAAATCGATATTGATAGCAATATAAAGCACATAGTTGCCCATACGACCCCGAGTACCTGACTAGATTTGTTGGCGATCACTGTGTTTCTTGAAGTGAACTCCTAATTTTTGCTTGCGTATATTGTGATTACAGTCAATTTTGCTTGCTTATATTGTGATACCACTCAGCATTAACCAGTAGTCCAGTACCTGCACGGGCTAACTTGCCTGAGCCAACCTCCATTGGAAGTTTGGAAACACCTCGTTGTAGAGCATGCAATGGAAGCCCACCTCTGCTTCGAAGTTGGATCTGCCATGTTGCTATAAGCCCACAACAATACATAGGTGCCAGATGGTCAGGCGGCCACTATGGAACATCACAAGGAACTCAAATAACTGAAGTTTCGATCAACAACATTTGCAAAATTGCGACAGCACAAAAAAATTCAGTACAGTTTTTTTAGCAACTAAAAACAAGAGCAAATTTGCTCAAATTGTCCCAGATAACTCTATAAAGCTTCCCAAATAGATCACTGGAATAGAGCGCAAAAAGAAAAGCACAGAGAATTGAATGGGTCACGATGCATGCGGTATCATTCTTCAGCTCAAGCCTTGCGGTTGCCGGATGATGAACCTTTCTGGTCTACCGGGTCCTTGCTTCCAACCAAGTCTCTGTAACGCTGTTCCCAGTCATCTAGCTTCCCGTTTGATATGTCAGCATGAATGGCCCTTCGGATGCCTTTTACAACCAAAAAGTACTGGAGAAGAGCATGGTAAACATAAGTGAGGCATTATGTTGAGGCAAAAGATGAAAATGCTGTGCTTAGATTTAGAACTGTTTTGTTTTAAAGGAGCTAACCTCCACCATAAGGATGAGCGGTATGAACATCTTCCAGCGATTGTTGGGATTTGGACCATCTATTAGCTTTTGATCAACATGAATGGATTTGCTCCCGTTTGAGACAACAGTAGTAATCTCTTTCATCAAGTTCGGAATCCATGGAGTTCCATCAGGGAGAACCTGTGATACAGTTGTATGGCATCCTCAATTACCTAGAAGCTAGACATGTTCAAATACAAGCCAAACATGATGATGAGATAGTCAAACCTTCTCTCCATTCTCATTAGTTTTGCACCTTCCACTGTTCTCCACCAATGCAATTGGCAAGGGAAAATCCTAAAAGGAGCAGAATGTTATTACAATTAACATTAGTATAGAAAAAGGACTATAGATTTTAAAAGCACAACTGTTTGTGACACCTGAGGAAATAATATATTTCCAAACAGATTCTGTAGTACACAGAGAAATAAAAAGTTCAGGTTAATTCTGCAACCATTTGCAATGAAAGAGCATGCCAGAAAGCAAAAAGGCAGGTTGGAGAAAAAGATGTTTGTGTAACCTAAGAGTGATGCACCATATACATTTAGCTGAGAGCATGCCAGAAAGCAAAAAGGCAGGTTGGAGAAAAAGATGTTTGTGTAACCTAAGACTGATGCACATTTAGCTAGTGATGAGAATTTTCTTTTTTCTGCAGAGTTCAACTCCATCTGTAATTTTGTATACTTGCCATATGCAATGTGACATATGCATATCTCGTGTTGGAGAGTGCAAACTGGAAAGTACCACGTTTCCCCAGAAACTTAGCACCCAAACAGCCATATTGTTGTAGCATTTTGCAAACAGACAAGTTGGAAACATAAGAAAGTGTACAATTTAAAGCTAGCCACTCAAGAACCCAGAAGGTTGAAGCAACAGTAGACCCATGAGGGAGTATCATTGACTGAGACACTATAAGTAACCAAAACAAGCGGAGGTTCAGGTTCATAACATGAATACTAAATTTCAAGGTAAAAAAACATTGGACGTCGGTTAGCATGCAAAATCAGTGACTTCAAAAGATAATTTGATTCATAGAATAATATTAACACATAAATACATAACCTACAGATGAACTGAAGAGAGTGTGTTAGTTACACAGCAAAATAAATAGACCCAAGGAGAAGGGAAATGACAGATTACTATGTGTTCTATTATTCCAGATCAGCAAAGAAACAGCAACAACACAGGACAGAAAATGAATAATTGTTCTGAAAGAGCATGTCAAATAATACACATGAAGAAAAAATATTAGTTTAGACAGAGGAAGCTGCAGATAAATTGCAAAAAAAAAAAAAAAATCTTGATATGCCGATAATACCCATATAAAAGACAAGTGAGGTATACATTACCCCAAGTTCTCGTTTGCTGACTCCTGCACCAGCACGAATGTATCGCAAAAGTGACTCAGATCTTTTTGTAAAGAAATCGTTATAGTCAAGTCCATCAGGTGGTGAGAGCTGAGCATGTGTTAATACAACCAATGTTCTTCGCCAAATGGCCTTTCCAAATGAATTGGTGACAGCTCTAATAACTTGATCATCCAACGTGTCCATTCTGTATGCATCCAATCGATCCACATAAAGGAGGACATCAATAGTCTTGCCCAGAAGAAACCTGCGATACAGTAGATAACACATATGACTTGTATAGGAATAGAACTTTTGAAGACAGCATAATGAAAACTTCGCGAAGGTCAAATTTATGAGCAGCAACCTAAAGAAAAGTTGTGTTGATTCATAATAGTTATTGTTAATAATTAAGAGAATTTTCCTTTTGTCACTCCTTGCAACCTGATTCACTCTCTCTAACATTGTGAGTTGCACTTCTATTTTTCGCCTCCATTACTAGTCATCCATTTCCCTTTTGCATTGATGTGCAGTCAACAGTAGTTAACCAATCAACCATCAGGGTTTGCTCCTAGAGACTATTATACCCTTAGGTCCCCATCGTTTGGCTTATTTCCTAATAAGCCAAAACGGCTTATTAGGAAATAAAAATGAATTTGTGGGTAAAACTTTTATAAATGTGTTCTTTGTGACTTAAAAGCCAATGTTGAAAAAGAAACTACGTTGAAAATATCTCAAAATCAATCTCAAAATTAAGCTTGAAAATTCAAATTTTGGCTTTTTCTTTGGCTTATTAGGCCATCTGATGGGAGCCTTACAGAAACTGGAATATCCAGAAAATCATACAAATATTAAAAAAATAACAAAATTACAAAGCCAACAGGTTATCTTCAGAGTAATGTGAGTATAGTGCACAAAAAAACAGTTTAACATGAATATTGGATCAAGACTCTTCAGACAGCACCCTAGATTCTGTTTGTAAAATCAAGAATAATATAAAATCACCTCCTGTCTCGTTCTTACACCACAGGATGGCAAAGTGGAAACACAAACTAAAACAATGTTTCTGAGATGTGTCGCCCATAAATATGATGCCGATTTCAGTACATAAAAGCTCCTAATTCCAAGAAAATATACTACAGATCGATCCGCCCTTGACCCTAGGTCAAAATGGCAACCTTAGTATGGTTATAGTACCATCTCAAATCCTAAACAAGATGTTGTGGTACATGCAAGCAACTGTATTGATTAAAGACAAGTATCGCTATAACTCAAGATTGGTACCTTTTTATGATCTCAACAGCCTGCTCATTGATGTATCCACCTTCAATGAGCCCAGGAGTGTCAATAATGTTCAAGGTGAAGCCTGCCCTGGTGCGAGAACACATCATCGGCCTGAGACCCTCGGACTGTACAGGAAAACATTCATCAACACACCCATAAGTACGCAACTTCGGTTATGGGCTCAATAGAAATCAGACCTGGAAGAAGCATTACCTGGAAGGCGCTGACAGTAGCGACCCTCTCGCCAACGATGGAGTTGACGGTGGATGACTTCCCCACCCCGCCCTTCCCCATCACCAGAATTGTCAATGTGCTCACATTCTTCATCACAAACAAAGCAGTAAAACATACAATCACATCACAGACGGAGTAACAAAACACACAATTACCACCAGTTACTAACAACGTAAAACAAGAGCGGGATATATATAATCATCGCCAATCCATTAACCAGTCCATAAAAGAAGCGTTTGCATAGGCGTGTAATACCTCCTCCTTGAGCTTGCCGAGGAGCTCGTGCAGCTTGGTCTGGGTAGCCGCCGGAAACTGCTGCAGCCCCACCCACTCGCGGGGTATCGGCGCCGCCGACATATCCGCCCTCACCTTCCTTCCTTCCCTTCCCTTCCCTTCCCTTCCCCTAACACATGGACCAACCAATCAAATCAGAAACCCCGACCCAATTTGGACAGGGCGCAGGGCGGCGGCCGCGAGGACCACGTGGAGACTCGGACGGAATGCTTACCGGGAGATGCGGATGCCGGCGAGAGGCGGGCGGTTATGCCCTAGCGGCGGAGGAGCGGCGGAGGATTTGCGGCGAGGTCGAGGAGGAGGGGCTCGGTGTCGGGGGGGTTTTGGTGAAGGGAAGGGATAAGGAGAGGAGGAGATGAACTTTTCTTTTCTTCACTCTTCCTCTTTTTTTTCTCTTTTTTTTTTCTAGTTTTGTCTTTTGCTTTTTCTTGTGGGCTAAACGGGCTGGGCCTGCGGGCGCTTGTTCTTTTGGTTGGGTTCAGCTCTCTGAGACGACAAGTTAGAGCTGTTTATTTTGGAATTGTTGTTGAGTTGTTGATAAAAAGAGCTGTGGCCTTCTGTTCTACTCATGTAAATCTACTTTATCATACACCTTGAGTGCACATAAGTTTTTTTTATTAAAACCTTGAGTGCACATAAGTTTTTTTTTTGTATTAAAACATTGAATGCAGCAAGTAAAATTGGAAGAATTCCGGTAGCAACGCCTCACGGGAATATGGTTGGGATTTTCAACCTTGGACGTAATTACAAAATCCCAACCTTGATCTGTAATTACGTTATTATTACTCTAGTAGTCTTGGTGCAATACTGCAATTTACCTCTTTTTCTTCGGACGAATACCGGACTACAACTAGGCAAAAGGTTTTATTGACCTGCGGCCCAGTCTAACTAGACCGAGTCGAACGTCCATCTCCGTACAGCCCATCTCTCCATTAGGCCCATTCTGACTCAGATCCGAGACGCGGCCCAAACGGCCACCGGCGACCGCGTCGTGGGAGAATGGCGACGGGCGGTCTACTCGCGGTCGACCAGACTCCGCTCCGCGGTTCGGCTGGCTGGAGCGCGGGCGGCGCGGTGGGGAGAGCCGGGAGTGGATTCTAATCTCTTGAAGGGACATCCCTCGTACATAATTTTTTTTTTCAAATTTAATATAAATAGCTATGAAAATTTCTATAAAAAATTGGCAATGTAAAGTATAATGATACCTACTAGTCCACCAAAATTTATATTCAAATTTGATCTACACATCGAGAAAAAAAAAGGCAAATTTAAATATAAACAGTACGATATTATTCATATGCTGAATTTGTCTTTTTTATATGTCGACGTGTGAGTTGAGTTTGGACTTAAGATTTTATGGAGTTATATATATATATATATATATATATATATATATATATATATATATATATATATATATATATATATATATATATATGATACCCATATGGGACTCCATGGTGCCCGGGCCAAGGTATAAAACACACAAATTCTCTCAAATTTTTAAAAATTTTCAAATTGTGAGTATATACCTAGGTATATGAAATTGATTCATACAAATACCTAACAACAAAACAACTCAAACTCAACTTTATTTCACAATTCATTATTACATACCTAATGAATTATATGTTTGGATGTTATATATCTAGAACCAAAATCTAACAAAAAAAAAGTTTAAACTTAGTTCAAACTTGTTTGAACTTGTTAGTAAAGAAGTTAATGTTCATATCTAAACATTTACAAAAAAAAATTCATACTCATTCAAATTGGGTATATACTCAATTTGAATCTTGGAGCCCATACTCCATGTAGCACCAGTTAATTTACCTACATATATATATGTGTGTGTTGTATGAATGTTATCAAGTTTTTCATAACTGTTTAGATGGTTTTTGAGCAAACGAGGGAACATCCCCTCGAGGGATTAGAATAATTTCCCGGGGAGAGCCGCCGCGTGTGCCGAGAGGGACGTCCAGGCCGGCAACACTCCCCCCCCCCCCCCCCCCCCCGGGGTCGTGTTTCACGTTGCGTACGTGCGTATGAGCTTATCCACCCAATCCACCACCACAACTGTCGAGGAGTACGCTGCACACACTAGCGCCGCGCCGGCCGAGGAGAGCAGATCGGTGAACGCGGCTTAGCCAGCCGTCGAGGTCGAGGAGCATAGTGCGGCGCGCCGCGGCGTGAAATATCACGGTTTCACGTGCAGATGCATAGCGCGTGCTCGAGGTTGGGAGGAGAGGTCAAAATTCTGGATGGTGTCGCGCGGTCCTGACCGAGAGGCTGAGCGCTGCGCGCGGTGGATGAGCCGTGGAGGTCAACCGGGTCGTCACGCTCGGATCGACCGACCACAGCCGCTTTCGTCCAAGCTTGAACCGAAGTTTTCAAAGGTGAGAACTGAGAACTTGTACCTGCCTCATGCAGGTTGGGTTGGAGGAACAGGTGTTCAACGTTTAAGATTCTTCTTACGACTGGAATGTTGATTTTAGTGGATAATAAAAACTCAAATTCATTTTTTAATTGAAAACGGCGATCCGGTTGGTGTTGGTTACACTAGGACAAATGAACGTTATGCATCAAATTTGATTGTTGTTGGCTCGAAATGTGAAAAATCTCATCCACAAAAACAACGACAGATATATTTTAAAAAAATCGTGCAAAAGTCAAATGGGCAGTAAAAGAAGGAATTTACATGCAAAATATTTACAGTGAGGAAAGTAGGAAACTTGTTTTTGCAATTAGATTTACAATCTAGCATGGAAAGCACATCCGCAAAAATCCCCATCAACTATTTTTACAATCTGCATTTCCTAGCTGCTCGCAACTATTTTTACAATGATTCTGAACACTGATCTCAATTCATGACAGCCTATTGAGCCCTCTGAAATCCACAGCGTCGACACACTCCCCCAACCCTTTGTGCTTGTTGAGCATCTTGAGCAGCTCAGTGGCCTTCTCCTTGGTCGCGTCCCTGCAGCCCACCTGCAGGAGGAGGAGAAGCTTCTGGAACGCGCCCACACGCAGCGCCTCGACCAGGCACCCCGTCGCGGCGGCCTCCTCGTCGCCGGAGGAGGCCTTGCAGCCGAGCCGCCACATCGCCGACACGGCGAGCTCGGTGGCCACGTCGGACACGCGGAACATCTTCTTCACGAGGGCCGGCATTGCGAGGGCGTGGCCCCGCGCGCTCGCGCGGCCTTCCTCCGAGGCGAGCATTGCGTCGAGCACCGCCAGGGCCTTCTCGGACACGCTCTTGTCGGCGTCTACGAGGGCCTCGATGAGCGTTGGGACGAGCCCCGTGGATGCTACCCTCGCCGCGACGCGCTCGTCGGAGCTCGCCAGGTGGTAGGTGGCGACCATGGCAGCCTTGGTGGCCTGCGGGCAGATCGGAGCCTTGATGATCACGACCAGCGCGTCGACGACCTTGTCGACCTTGTCATCCGCCAGGTCCACGAACGCTCCGTCCCGCGACACGGCCTCCTTGATCGCCAGCACAGCGTTCAGCCTTCCGGCCAAGCTCCCGTGCTTGGCAATGGCGACGAGTGAACCCATCGAGCTAGACGAGGCCAAGACCCTGGCCGCCTCCTCGTCCAACGGCATCATGCAGACCAATGCCGCCAGGACGTCCTCGAGAACGCCCGCCTCCCCGGCGGCGGCGAGAGACTCGAACGCCGCGGCCAGCACGCGCCCCGTGCCGACGGACACGAAGCACCGCCGGTTCCGCTCGCTGTCCCTCGCGAGCGCCCGGACCCTGGCGACCGCCCCGGCGGCGCGCCCCGCCGCGCCGCGCCGCGCCGCCGACTCCGCGACGTCGAACAGCAGCTCGGAGGCCTGCACGGGCGTGACGGGGATCTTGGGCGTGGGGATGCGCTCCACGCCGCGGGACCGGTTGGCGACGCACCAGTCCTGGATGACGCGGCGGATGGCGTGGTTGGGGACGAGGTCCTCGTGCCGGAGCGGCGCGTGGGTGACGGGGCACACCGCGCGCCCGGTGTCCAGCCACGCCTCGATCCCCTCCCTGTCGTACGTGATCCCCGTCGGCGCCGTCACCGGGTCGCGCATCAGGTCCAGCGAGATCGGGCACCGGAAGTGCGCCGGGATCGCCAGCTCCGCCGCCGCGCCGCCACCCCTCTTCTGCAGCAGCGGCGCCGGCGCCTTCGCCATCACCGCCTTCCGCGCCCTCCGCGCCAGCAGCGCCATCCCAAGCTCTCGATCGATCACCGCAGCGCAAGAAGAGAAGCCCAGCGAGAACAGCTGCGTGTTGTGGTGTAAGGCTTTGAGCTGAGAAGAGTTCAATACGGGAGACTGGAGGTGGTGGGAAGGGTTCAAATAGGAGGAGGTTGGGAGAAGGGTAAAGGGGTTTGATTGTTTGAATTGGAAAGGTTGACGTTTGAACAGACGAACGTTTGAACGAGAGGGCGTCCTTGCAAACCGCGGGAGAGGGAGGGGAGGAAACGGTCGGAACGGCTACCGAGTTAATAAACGCTGTGCTTTAGCTAAGTAAATGCCAGCTCGGCATTCATTTCTTCTTCTTCTTATGTACTACTGTATCCGTCTCAAAATATTTATCGTTGTGAGTTTTTGTTTATAATGTTTGATCATTTATGTTATTCAAAAATTATAGAAATATTATTTATTTGACCATCCGTCTTATTTGAAAAAAAATAAAAAAAAGTAAGTCTCACATAAAATACTATTCATGTTTTATCATCTAATAACAACAAAAATACTAATCATAAATTTTTTTTAAATAAGATCAGCGGTTAAACGTTAGACGTGAACAGTGTAAAAGTACACTTATTTTTGGGACGGAGAAAGTAAATGCCAACTCACATTCATTTCTTCTTCTTCTTATGTATTACTACCTCCGTCCCAAAATATTTGTTGTTGTGAGTTTTTGTTCGTAATGTTTGATCATTTATCTTATTCAAAAAATTATAGAATTATTATTTATTTTATTTGTGACTTGCTTTATTATCAAAAGTACTTTAAGTATAACTTATCTTTTTTATATTTGCACTAATTTTTCAAATAAAACAAATAATCAAACATTGCAAGAAGAAAGTCAAAACGACCACTAATTTAGAAAGGAGGTAGTACTCCCTCCGTCAATATGTTTTTTTTACGAAGAAAGCATTGAATGAGAAAATAATATAGACATAGGTGCTCATATCACGCATATATTCACCCATATGAACGCACATGTATACTTTACTCATATATTATCTCCAGAAGACTGACTGACATGTGGATGAAGTCACCACGGGTGTTTTGCTGTCGACAGATATGTTTGTCACTAAAAAAATAATTAGCTGTAAGTATGATCATCAGTGTTAAGTCTATGATTAAAATTTGGGTGGGTTGGTTCCACCATAATGAACTTAACCGTACGCCGTATTCTTTTTTTTTCTTCTTTTAAATTTGAAGGATTTAGGAGTTTATGATCCTGTGTGAATGTAGTTCATACATAGGTCCAGTTTTTTATGGTTCATGAGTTCATACCAAATGGCATGTGGAATAATTAATTGATTTTGTGTGTCACTTTGATTTCAATTTTGTAATTGTTTTTTTCCACATTCTTGACTAGGATAAGGTGATACTAACCGGGATCTATAATCATGCAAGAAAAGGACCGGTTCATCCTATAAAACTAGAATTATTCAAAGTCCAGTCGTTGTTTATGCAACTGCTTGCTTTTGTCACCATTGTATTCAGTTCGTCACTTGCGCGAACAGTACGGTAACTTTCGCTCGGAATACCGGCTAAGTCGAAGTAAATCTTATGCAGTGGCTGTGAAATTTCTTTTGAGAAATACTCCCTCCGGTTTCATTTTAATTGATATTTTGGACAATGACACGGTTTACAAAATATAACTTTGACCTTATTTTTCTATTATAATATACACAATAAATAAATATATGTTTACTTTTTATAGTGTTTTGAAAGACAAATTTATATATGTTGTTCGAGTTTCTTTAAACTAAATATTTTTAAAGTTATTGATGGTCAAAGTTATAAAAGTTTGACCTCAATCTTATCTAAAACGTCAATTATTATAGAACCGGAGGGAGTACAGTTGCAATTCTTTCATCTGAGTAATTCAGCTGATCGCTGCAGCTTTCATAATGCCACCACCGATCATTCAGAATAATCACTGGTGGTTGTAGATTTGTAGGCGGCGGTAAAATATGTGTGGACATCTCGCATTTTCAAACCTAGGAATAACTCACACCAACTTCTTCAATTTTTAAGACTAACTCAAACCAAGTGAGCTACTCTAGAAACTTATACTGGTAATTAGCTAGGTCAAATCACAGGTACTGCTATTAGACCCTACTTACCAAACAGTAGCTGTACTTTTCCTACCACTATGGATTGCCTGAAAGCAACTCAGTTAATACAAGCTATACATCACTGACTTCTTTTAGCAATTAAATACATGGTGACATGTTAATACAGCCACTTGAAATGTTTCATTAATCCGTGTTTTACAGATTACTGAGTAATGGTCATTATGGTTTTTAACCACATCAGTGTGATCATTCAACTAAGCTAGCTAAGTTTGTCAATTTAGGGAGCATTTCTTTTGGAAGATACACCATTTGTCTTTAAAAAAATCAAATCATTACCATGAATCTGAATTGGGACGGAGGAAATATCTAACAATGGATTTTTTTTTTTAAAAAAAGGATTATGAAACCCGGACTCTGCATTCATGAGAGGATGTACATAGCCAGTGGACTTTATGACTGGCTATGTATGAATTCATTTGCTACTTTTAAATTCTGTGAACATCTCTTTGTGTTTGCATTTTCTTTCTCTAGAAGCATATCAAGTGAAGAGTTGCAAGAGCTGATGCTGATTCTAGATTGCCAGAAGTTATGTTAAAGGACAAACAAATTCAAACGACTGAAAATGCCAAAGCTTCAGACAACAGTTAGCTTCATTAGACAAAACCGGGAGGGGTCAACAGGATTCAGTTCATGCGCCCCTTTTCTCTGTTCCCATGCTCGGTCTATCCTGCTACGTGGAAACCGAAATTTAGGTGAATTCACCTAACATTCAATTTCACTCGATTGCCCGTCCAATAGGTTGAATGTTTTATGATTTATAAATATATTTATGTTTGAGCAACTGAATTGTTTTGTTCCAGTCAATTCCTGGTCTCTGATGGAGGTAGGCACGGACCAAACGCCATTCAGTTTTAACTAAGACCGACACGCTCCACACCGTCACACGCTCCTTTGCGCCACATAAACTATTCCATATCGTGCACGCATTGTGTGACTGGAGTAGGCAGCAAAATGCGTTTCATATGAGAGGAAACGTTTCGTTTAGAGAAACAAAAATGCTATATTCCTTTTCTTTTCTCCTTTTTAACTACTTCGTTGCGTGTATTCTCATACTACAGAAATTTGTGTGGCATTTTTTACTTGTTTATTTGCCTGTTCATGTTAGGTGCTGGCAATTTGTTTCTGGCATTTTTTTGAAGAAATTGCAGCAGAGAGAACTTGTTCATGCCAGTGTTTATACTCATTCCCATGAGAGTCCGAGTCCATGACTCTGCCGCTGTGTCCGCCGCGGCAACACGGTTTCTCCAGCGCGCGGGTACGCGACTACCGCGTGTTCGCGAGAAGACGACGGCGTCTTTTCCTCTATTTCTTCCGGCCACCGTACGCTCTCTTTCTGGTGTGCAAACAGGTAGAGCTAGCTAAGCAAGCTGTTCTTTCCTCCGCCGTGTCGTGCAGTTCGGAAGGGGTTCACATCAACCCGGTCCTAACCCCAAACAACGGAAACAGTTCGTACCTGCCTCGATGTAAGAAGACCTTCCAAATGCAATGTAAGAGAGTATCTACTGTGGTTTCTCTGCAGTTTGAGGTTTACAGATACAGAGCGAGTTTGTTCTCATCGGACATATGCAGTCTGCACATGAATAGCATACCTTCTCATCCGCCGTTCCATTGCAAAGCTCCGTGAATTAGTCAGAATGGTGAAAAGGATAACAGAGTCTACGAGATAATAATAAATCCGTGGGCTTGGCAAACGTAAAACAGCTGGAAACATTTGCCCTGATACATGGGGTACTCCAAACCTTTGCCCTTTGCAAGCTGCAACGTAAAGTACATATCTACCGTAGGTTTAAGACCGAGTCTTGGTTCAACTGTTCAGAAACCTTGACGCCGTACATACTAGATGCATCGAGCAGTCCCATGTACAATTCTAAACACATACCAGACTAATTCAACAACGATGACCACGAGGAAGCCAGTAAATGGATGTTCAGACAACATGCAGGCAAATGTTCAAACGGTTGAATTGAAGGATGACCAGGGTTCAGTGGTTCTCATGTATTCTTGGTAGACATCATCCCAAGTTAAAACACAAAAAAAAAGAGAATCCGGACGACTTACAATTAAACGAGAAATCGTACTGACATCATCCCAAGTTAAAACACAAAAAAAGAGAATCCGGACGACTTACAATTAAACGAGAAATCGTACTGAAAATCATGTGCCGAAACAGCGTAACATTTTCTTTGCCTCAAGGCGAACAATATACACTGGGAATCCCACATAACTATCTGCATACATCTGAAGGACAGGAATAGCACAAAATCCACCTGCATCAATAAATTATAGAAGGAACGATCCATCAATTTTCCCATGTCAAATTATTGCAAGTTTGTGCACAGTTGGATGGTAACATCACATTCATCTACTTGACACAAGATAAGTATGGCACCACTAGCACCTGGTATTTCAGCCTTTACTGGAACCAATCTTTAAGCATTGTCTAATAGACTAATTGTTGGTGCAGCAAGTGATTATGAAGGAAAGATAAATGAATGCCAGTGCTCAATGTAATTCTATTTCCGTATTCGCAAGCATGGCAGCCAATAACAAAGTCATTTAAAAATTCATGCAACCCCTTGTATTACTTAACTTTGAACAACAGAGCAGAATTGATCAGAATCAATGGCATGCCAGCATGGTTTATCAAACATCAGATTCTTTTGAATTGAAATGGAAATGATTTTGTTTCTTTCCTAGCTTTATAATTTGCAAGACAGGAATGAGGTGAATGGTGAATATGTCCAAGTTTCATCACCACCAAATTATTAGGTGAAGATCTAGGTTCTCAGCTAAGCCTACTCCTTGAAATACATCAACACAAGTCTAAAACAAGAATCTTCAACGTCTATCTAGTAAAAGGATTCCAATAAACTAAATCTCGATTTTTGAAAAGATTGTTGAGTCGACATTTTAAATCAACAGCCATATGCTCCATTGAAAACGTGTTGTCTAAGTTATTGGCAGACCTGTAAGTGTGATTAATCTACTCTTCCTTGAGGCGTTTCTCAGTCTCCTCCAATGCCTTAATATCCTTGTTGTACTTGCAAATACGGAAAATGCACCTGTCCCAAAGTTTTTTTTTAAAAAAACAATGATAAGATAAAATTCCATGGACAATATGTCCATAAGATTCTGCAGTTGTGTTGCTTTACCAGTAAAGGAGGCATGCTGAAACACAAAGAATGACATTCCTCTGGGCCTTGAAGATCTGTACAAGAAAATATTCATTGATGAGAACACAGGAAGATGAAGAAACCAATACAACTCCTTACTTTGCACAGCTTAAAATGCATTAAAGAATTTGCTGAAACTACTAGACATTAGACATAGGTAATTTACTCTCCGAATCTTCTGAATCTGATAAAAAAACATATAACAAAGCTCAAACCCATTAACCATTAAAATAAATTGATTATGCAAATGGTATTATAGATAATATGAAAGTAGTTGGTATTGGTAAGGTGTACGCAATGAAAAGTATCTAGGTATGTTTATGAGCTATTGTGCATTTCACCCTGCCTTCACTTCGTTGACTTCCACGTTCCTGTACCGGCTAGTTTGTTGACACTTCCGTAGCTGAGGGGTTGGGGTTAAACACGAGTCGTTAGGGTTACTGCTCCAACTGATCGGCCGAAGATACCTATTCCTAGACGAATACCTCTGCTTTAGCTCTAGCGCTAGGAATCCTAAAATGAATGTTTACTTTATTTAAGCCGTCCCGTTGATGGCATTATACATTGATTTAATAGATGTAATGGCTATTTTTTTCTTATTTTGTGAACATAAGGAAATAAATTATTTAAAATGCACAAATGATTGAGGGGACAAAAACAATTTCATGGTTGACACTGTAGATCCCAGCCAATGACAGCTACACTAGTTTTGCTTGGCACAAGCATAATTCTGGGACAGTGCCAGAACAAACCCATCACATGCCAATCTGCCATGAGGTCAGCCCAATACCAAGTTAAACACAGGAAGCTCGCAAAACGTTTGTATTGTATTATTCAGTGGATATCATTCATTTAATGGTAGCTTTTGTTTGCCACTTCAGATAAAAGATAAAGATTAGCTTTAGCAAGGATTATTCAACATGCTATTCTGGAAAAGGAAAAAAGATTGCAACACATGATTTAAATGCAGTGGTCAGTTAGTCAGTTAACAAGTTTGAATTCTGGCTAGCCATTTCTTCTAGAAGAACAAGATCCATCCATTGTGCCAGCTAAAGAAAAGTTCTCATAACCCATTACATTTTTTGTATTGCCAATTTCACTGGTCTAACTGTTCAGCAATAGGGCTAGAGCATTTCAGACCCCCAAGAAAAGCTTTACATAACAAATTCCTTGTGAAGGCAGTTTTCATGGAAAGAAAAACGATACAAACCAAACATTCAATGTCAGGAAGTAGAACATCCTTCAGGGTATGAGATGTACAGATACAAACAATTCCTCCAGACCGAAGAGAATAATGGTGGATGTATGGCCAAAGAGGGTTGCCAAAGTATGGCCAGTTCTCCTCCTTTCCTAGTAGCCTTAAAATTCAAGGCATATAAATTATGGAGTTGAAAGCATAACACGTGTATGTTTCTTCTGTTATCTCAATTCCAATTACTTTTGCTAATTTTCAGGAGTTCTGAGCTCTACTTTTTTTTTTCTAAGAACCAAATTTAATTTTATTTTTGTATTGAAACCAAATGATTAGAAGGAATCGTCTAAGTAGAGTGCCCCTAATGGAACAACTAAAATCTGGCATTCACAAATGTTGTCCAACCTACACTCTGAAAAGTTCTCATCTGTTCGGCCTTATATACTACTCTGAAAAGTATATACTTCAATCCGGTTCTTTGTCAAGGCGAAAATCAATTGGCGTTTATTGTTCTTACAATTCCTGAAGGCATACATTTTTGGCCGTTCACATTTATCCAAAATGGACACGCACAAAACAAAGCTGCATAAAACCCTAAAAATACTGAACACAAACTAGAACTGAAAAGGCGCACAAGATCTTAATTCACTCACGGATTTCTCAAAGCGGATACGCTCGTCAGCGGTGCAAATCTCGGAGGTGCACATCAACCTGTGCTCGTTCTTCCAGTAGATATCTGCACATCCGGGGGGCCAAAAAAAAAAAAAGCAAGCCAGTCAGAGCGCTGTAACGAGAGGGCGGAAACCTCGGGCCAAAACCACGAGAGGGAGAGGCGAGCGCGCGCGCACCGAGGAGCTGGAAGGCCGCGAAGGGGAGTATCCCGGCGAATGGCTGGAGGAGCATCGAGGTGAGCCCGACGATCTGCTTCCGCACGGCGCGGGGCGCCGGGAGCGTGAGCATCACGGCCACCGCCGCCTCCGCCGCCACCACGCACGCCAGGATCATCCACTGCAGCGCCATCGTCCGTCGCTTTCGCGGTCCCTCCCACCCTCTCTCGAACCCTCTAGAACCTTCTCGACGACGCGGCTGGGGGAAGAAGAAGAAGAGGAAGAAGCAGCCTCGGTCTCTCCGATCTGCGTGGACGCGTTTCTAGATGGGTGCGGGATGGACAGGTGGGTCGTAAATGGCCGCCTCGGCTTTCCTTCGCTGCCAAGTGATTCGCTGCGGTCGCTTTCGCCGCGGCTTGGTTTGGGCCGGGCCCATTATGACAATTGTTGGGCTAGGCCCATTGTGATATTGTTGGGCCGGGCCATTTCGATCCAAGACAAAACCGGAGAGTTTATCGAGACCCGAACACTTCCTTTTATTTTCTTTTTCTCTCTCTTTTTTTTCCCTGTCCGCTTTGCTTCGCCTGAGCCCTGAGCCGCCGCCTCCCGTACTCCCTTGCGAGCTGGGGTTTTAGCGGCGGCGGCGAGAGGAGAGGAGGAGGAGGAGAGGGGAAGATGAGCCGGAGCCTGGGGATCCCGGTGAAGCTGCTGCACGAGGCGGCGGGGCACGTGGTGACGGTGGAGCTCAAGACCGGCGAGGTGTACCGCGGCGCCATGGTGGAGTGCGAGGACAACTGGAACTGCCAGCTCGACAACATCACCTTCACCGCCAAGGTATGAGCTACTACGCGCCCCCGCGACTCTCCCAGACTCCAGATCGGAGCCAGATCCCCGTCGATTTGAAAACCCTGGGTGATTTGTTCCTTTTTTTTTTGGGTTTGTTGATCTGCAGGATGGCAAGGTGTCGCAGCTGGAGCACGTCTTCATCAGAGGAAGCAGAGTGAGGTAACCCAGGGTTTTCATTAGGTGGTGGTGCGTCGTGGTGGTCTTATTTGTCTGAGTGTGTGGGTTGTTGTTGTTGCAGATTTATGATTATACCGGATATGCTCAAGAACGCACCCATGTTCAAGCGCCTGGAAGCAAGGATTAGGGTTGGTGATTGTAAAATGTTTTGCTGAGATAAGAGAGTGGTGAGATGGTGTGTGACTGTGCTAATTTTTTTGTTGTTGTCTTGTGTAGGGCAAAGGATCAGCTATTGGAGTCGGGCGTGGCCGTGCGGTTGCAATGCGTGCCCGGGTAATGGTTGCTTCATATGGACATTATGCTTTGATACAAAGATGGTTGTTCCTTCTGGTCGATCAATTATATAGTGATAATTTGAATCCTGTTGGTGATATAACGTGTAAAAGAAAATACAATTAGGATATACTCTTGAACGAGTGAGGGTGATGCAGTGTACCTTGCATCTTTCCAAAGGCAACACATCAGTTATTGATTTATTTTGGAGGGACTTTGCTTAGTTTCTTATTTTATATAATCACTTTCAATTTGGATTTTTCCTGTTAAGATAAATAGGTCAAAATGAAATTACGCGGTAAATTCTATCTTGCTAATGGATGTATAGAATATGTAGTAATTTGATTAGTTGCACATGATGTTCCTAGGGTTTAATTCTTGAGGATTGCTTTTAACATACTTAGATTTAAACAAATTCTATGGGTCCCTTCTTTTATCTTGAAAAAAATCCAGTATTATTTTGTAGATGTCATGTTTTTATGCTGTTGTGCTTGGGTTTTCTTCAAAATTTGGATAATGAAAATTGCCTAACTTTTTTTAAAAAAATGTTTTTATGCCTTTCCTTTGTGATTAGTATGTCCCTGAACTAATGAGCTTTTAGCTGCTGTACCATGGATCTAATTATCTTTGATACTGACAATGTTGGTGCGCTGTCACATATACTCAATTAATCATGCTTGGCTTGCTTTTCCACTGAATTGGATTTTCATCTTGAATTTAACTCCTGGTTTCTTTCTCTCCTATCATACGTTAAGGTCAATAAACAGTGCCATATTGTCAATTTTCCGTATTGGGTGAATGAGCCATGGTAGCTATGTTAATAGAATGGTTAAACTGAAAGGATGACATACTTTGACAATGGTCACATTGCAATTCAGGATTTAGCCATTTAGGAGCCATCTTCTAGATTGTACCTCCTTTTTGTTTTGATCTTGACTCTGCAGAAGTCTGCCAACCAGTCATATGGACATGTTATGAAATTGACATGTGTAGTGGAACAAATTAATTGTGCATATGTTCAACCTTTATTGTAAAAGTTTTACGTGCACTTAACTGTGGAATAACTGTAGTCTATTTGTGCCATTAGAAATCGTATGGACCTTTGGGGTGGATATCTGAGCTTAAAATATTGGATTGTGCTGTTTGGATGGCCATGTGTTATCAAATTTTTCGAAGTGATAGGGGAAGTAGTAAGAACTTTTAACCAAGGGTTATCCAAGCTTTTGTTTATGTATACCATTTAACAAACAAAAGAAGGATGTAGATCTTAGGAAAATGCAACTGACTGGCTTATCTTAGATATTTTTCCCATCAGTTGGTATGTCAAGATGATATTACTAGCCAGGTGCCAAGTGAGGAATATGAGGACCATACAAGATATTCTCAAATACCTCTAGTGTAGTCTTTGGGTACCATAGGATGATATTCTGTTACCTACACTACATAATTTGGGAATGAAGTTATTTTCCCAATAGCTGAAGGCAAGGTCCAGTTTATTTTCTAAAGATATGATATGATTCTTTCCTGGGTATCTTTGTGCTTCTGTTTGTTCCATGTCTGCAGCTATTCTTTGGCTTTTTTTTCGCTCATTTGTTTGTGGTGTTTGTTCTGTGCATATATTGGTCCTTTCGGTCTTCCTTATGTTGGTTAAATAATTTATAATGGAGTGTTCCTCGCAAAGAAAAAAAAATGGAGTGTTGAATCTTGGTTGCCCTTTTTTTTTCCTGTCCTATTACAATTTTAGCGAAACTAGATAATTTATATAGCATTGTTATCATAAATCTTGACTAGCAAGTTATGCCTATAAAAATATGAATTCATCTTGCAAACTGCAGAAGGCCACTTGGCAAATGAAAATTTTAACATAGAATAACATGCAGTTAAGGGTTCTAGCAAAATTCACTTTAGATTTTCTATAGCCAGATATTTTCACGCATTATTTTTCAAATTCTGTGTTTTTGTTCATCACTGACACTTCCAACAGACAGTTCCTAAACTTGTTCCCTCTGTTCATGTACTGCAGGCTGCTGCTGGTCGTGGTGGTGGTCCTGTTGGACGGGGTGGTGCACCTCCGGTGAGGAGATAGATTGTCTGTCATCTATTATCTGCCTGAGGAAGTTGATGCCTTAATTTGAAAACATTGCTTGAGAATTAAACAGCCAGTGTGCATCTTGTCTGATCAATCCGCTTAAAGGAGGATGCATGCATGTTGGTGGCGTCGATTTCATGTATTTTTAATGTTAGATATGGTAGGTTGAGTATGATATTTCAAAGGTAGAAACATTGTGTTCGTTAACCTGATTTGAATGACAAGACCAGTTTCCCCTGTCATTGAGCGAATTTCCTTTTGTATCTACCAGTTTAGTGGCCGTTTGGAACGCAGTGATTCTTAAAATTCATGTGCTCCAAAGGCCTAGTGGTTATCTGGCAACTTCCTGAATCGGATGCTTCTTATAAGTTATTATAACGCACTTTGTATCTTCATGGTCACACTCACTGCTTGAGCTCAAGTCCTACCGACAAATGGGTTTGTACCAAGCAATGCTATGCAACAACTGATCCTGATGTCTTGGGCTTTGGCAGTGATTGGTGGGCACTGGGCATAGTGTAAGGGTGACTAGGCAACGGTAAGACTGCCGGTGAGCAGAACAATTGTGATAGCGTTGGTTGCATTTGGTGTTAATTGCAGGCATGTGCCTGGCCGTAGGTTTCTGTTTTGCTCATAGTTCATGGTCAGAGTGGACGAGGAACCATGCCAACAAAAGCATATTAATGTATTATTGAAAAACTTAATGTACCATCGGATATTAGTCCACCACTTATCTTGTTCAGCCATTATTTTTCTATCAGAGCATATAAATGTATTATTGAAAAACTTAAGTGTACCATCGGATATTAGTCCACCACTTATCTTGTTCAGCCTTTTTCTATCAGAGAATTAACAGATAAAGGAGAAATATGGACCCATCAGTGCTCTCTCATATGCTTAGTGGCAGTTGAGTTTCATCAATGCTCTCTCGTAAGGTGATGAGATTATTAGGAAAATTTCAAATAGTCCCACCTGAGCACATCTCTACATTGTAGAGTTTCACAAGTAAGAAATGCATCTCCATTCTGATTTTTATACAATATGGTACATATTTGTGACATACACAGCCTGCACCCATGCTCAAATGCACATGCACAAGAAAAAGAAATTCTACCATAGCATAGATTCAGATCTCTCATTCTTGATTTCAAAACAGCCAGCCACATGAGCATGAATTTTCAGTATCTGAAAACCCTCTGAAAAACAAATTCAGTATTACAACAATCCACATACATTGTAACAGATAGATCATGCTTGATTCTCCAAGTAAGATTTTTGAAGATGATCTAGTCAGAATCCGAAGTAAGATCCATTTCAGGGTGAAACGGGCCGAGTAACTTTGCTAGGTGCTCCGCCATGTCTTCCACCTCCTCCCTCCCGAAGCCCCAGTCACGGAGGACCAGAGACCCGATGGCACCTCTTGCGACACCGTGCTTCTGGAGGCTCCCCGATCGCCTCTCTATGAAAGGCAGGACGGCGCTGCTTGATCGTAATCGTGCCGCCATCGGTATCGATTCAATATCGAGTGAGCCCTTTGGCTGGGATTCTTCTGCATGGTCGCTAAGGATCTCCCCATGCCGGCCAATGTTGCCTCTGAAGATTGACGGGAACGGAAGGGGGACAGGGAGGGGGCAAAGAGATGCTGAGAGATGGGAAAATTTTGGCTTTGTCTCTCTGGCTTCATAGACTGAACATACCGAGCCTTTCACTTGTGATATGGAAGTCCTTTGCCCACCTGTGCAAACAAATTTCAATTGTTAATTCTTTGTACTTCTACATGTATAACCAAAATTTAGCCACCATGCCTATAATGTTGTGAAATGTTCAATATTGTACAATATAACAGTAGAAAAATAAGTTCTGTTGGCATGACAAATAATAGGACTTCCCAACTCCCCCATCTCGTTTTCCGCGCGCATGCTTTTCAAACTGCTAAACAGTGTGTTTTTTGCAAAAAGTGTCTATACGAAAGTTGCTTAAAAAAATCATATTGATCCATTTTTGAAAAAAAAAGCTAATACTTAATTAATCACGCGCTAATGGACCACTCTGTTTTCCGTGCGGAGGAGATAGGTTCCCATCCTCCAGTACCGAACACAGCCTTAATCAGACCCTATGGCAAAAGATAAGATGTGCAGACCTTTATCAAGAGCTCCATGAACCACCAGCGATTCAACTGAATAAGGATCTTCATCCTCATCGCTGATTTCAGGGGTCAAAGAGTGCAACTTCATCTCTATGTTCCCCATAGCATCTCTATCTGCAAATTACAAGTGTGCAATTAGCAAGCAAGATTAAATTTCCATCCAATGTTGGTATGACAGTAGGACATATGTTATGTTGTGTACCTGTCAAAGAAGGGGCAGGCATCGCTACATCCAGAGCAGTAACCATGTTCTGCCGACCTTGATCAGATAAAATGTGCAGAAGTTCACCAATGTCAAGATTACCAGATGAATGTGCCAAGTCTGAACTCGGGCCCGTTCGTTGCAATCTAAATGGAACAGTAATTGAATGTATTGCTGCAGCACAAACAGCACTAGCATGGAATGGTTTCTCGTCTTGTATATAAAGATACGATGACATGTAACCTGATGAAACAGAGTGAAAGGAAATTTGTGAGAAAATCTCATACAGAATAAGCTTTCTGTACATTCATGAAAGTATTTTTTTAAGGGAATTCATGAAAGTAATTTTGTATGGAAATCAAATGTGAATATACAGCATGAACAAAAGGAGTTGATATTTAATGGAAATGCAATCAAGTGCAGTATCTTAAGGCACAAGATCAGTATACATGAAAGCAATCAAAAGCAAAATTAGGCTACCGGAAAGAAGTCCTATAAAATCACAGAATAACAATAGCATCGCAATTTAGTATCCTCCTGTGTATTTAGCCAACTTACGAGAACTCCCCAGACCTAAAAGTGCTCGAATGGAAAGTTTTCAAAAAAGAATAAAAAAATAAACTAAAAATGTGGAGTTCAGGCAAAGGACATACTTCTACTTAATGAAGGCGGTCCTATGGGTACCATCAGGTTGCAAAAGGACGAAAGTTTTGAAAATGAAACAGCATCATGAAGAGCTCTCATAATGGACTCCCTTTGATTCCTCCTGGATGATCCAAGGGTCATTGGATCCCTCACACAGTAAAGCAATACAGGTGTATTTGTGTAATCATCAGCAATGTTCTCCAAAAACTGTGCAGCTACACTGGAAAAACCTCCTGAATCATCCACAATAAACTGGATGCCCTGTGGTAAATTATGAATCAATTAAGCTAAAAATAATGGTCTCAAAATATGCATGATATCGGAAATGATGTGCATAAGTGAACATTAGCTTGTTGCAAAACTATAGTAGAGTTTGCTGATAATTCACTGGGGAAAAGTAGGACCTGAATATGGTCGCATTCTTCAACAAAGAACCTTAGCCTCTCATTCATTTCCTCTATTTGCGACCAGTCTGAAACAACCTCTTGTGCGCTGCCATAGTTATCAAACTTGTCAAAGTCTGTCCATGACCCATGTAACTCATATAAACTCTGAGGATGATACTGAACTTTTGAATAATCCGTCCAAAAGTTGACGCTATTCTCTAGACAGTCGATCAGGTCCTTATCCTCAACACTTTTCTGGGAGTTGCTGGCACCATTGCTAGTGCTTGGATTCTGCCCTTCTTCAACTAAGCTTTGCAGAAACAAGTTCCGCCCATGAGGTTTTGAGACTGATCTTGTTACACTTCCAGACCTACATAAACCAGGAAAAAATCATCATGGTAATATATGAGCCCGACACATTATTCAATATATAGGTGCCCCTATTCTCGTCGATGATATTAGCATATAGTTACTGATAGCATGCATGACAGCAGCACATAACAAGCAACAGCAGGCCAAAAGATGAATGCAACTCTACGAAAATAATAGGCAGATGCAATGCATCACTTCCACAGAAGCTGGATGGGTATATGCATCGTTACTACCAGTCCATTGCTCCCTTATTATCAGCATAAGAGCAGCTCACTGCTAGAGCAAAGCTGCTATATTTGCTATCTGCTTTCTTTGACAATGCAGACATGCTTCCTCCATTTGTCAGAATTATCCCCCAGTTGTAGATACCTAAGCTTATTTAACTCTGTAACCCATTTGCACAAGCAATCTTATACTAAACTGAAACAACAGTATTCTTCTGCGTAGCTTGTACATGCCAAATTACAGCGATCATTTATGCATGGTGGGCACAATAAGAAAAACCAAACATGGAAGCATATTCTGGAGAAGTTAGAGCACCACTTGCCATGTAGCAACATTGAGCTGATCTGCAGAAGCACTGGTCTGACCGAGATTACCAGATGAACTCAAAGAACCAAGGGACCCTGCAAATGATACCACCGTGAACACGCAGCCAACACTATCAGTAACAAAATAACAGTTGTTACACACTACAATACTTGGATCAAATTCAGTCAGATTACCTCGAGAACCAACCGACACCAGACGAGGGCAGTATGTGGGTATACCCTGGTGAAATCAAGCATTGTATGCTAGTAGTCAGTAAGAGATGAGCAGTAGCAGAAAAAAAATAAGTATATTTTCCTTAATGATAAGGACGAGCGGCTCTACCTGGTGCGTCTCGCCGGAGCGGTAGAGGACGTCCATGTCCAGCGCGTCGTTCTTGAAGACTGGGTCGGCGTCGGGGTCGTCGGCGAGCCCGAGCAACTCATCCTGGAGAAGAAGACCCCAACAAGAAGAACAAGAAGCGTCAGCGTCAGGTTCTTGCACCAGGTGGAGCAACAAGTTGGGGATCTTGCCGGAGACGAGAGAGGGGGGGGGGCTCACCTGGAAGTTCCAGAAGTGGGAGCCGACGTAGTTGGCGAAGCCGCCGACCTGCACCGTCACCGCCTCCCTCATTGCCGCCGCCCCTCGCCGAGCTCGGCAAGCTCCTGAACCGCAACCGCGGCGGCGGAGTCGACAAAGAAGTTTCTCTCGCAGCACAAATCACCACAGATACGCCGGCGAGGCCGCCCCGGTGGGGAATAGCGCCGGCGGCGAGGTGCTCAGCCAAACGGCGGCAGCGGCGGCGGCGGCCGTGACGGGGAGGGGAGCGGCGCGACAAATCGTGGAGGTTTTCCCCTCACCACCACTGTGCAAAAAAAGGCAGGATTTTTCGAATTTTTTTTATTTATAATTTTTTTTATTAAAAGTTTTACAAAAATAATTTTCCATTTTGAAAATTGACGGAAGTAGTCGCCTACCGCCCTTAAAAATCGCCCTCCCAGAGGGCGGCGAAAATGACGTGGCAGCCGGCCGTTCGCTCTCGGGCGACGGCCGTCAACGAAATTTGCAGGCGGCCCCCTTGCCGCCCTCCGCTAGGGCGATTTTATACTGTGCGGGGGGCCGCCTGCAAATGGGCGGCGAGGGGGGCATGGAATTTTGCAGGCGGCCCCCTTGCCGCCCTCCGCTAGGGCGATTTTGTACTGTGGGGGGGGCCGCCTGCAAATGGGCGGCGAGGGGGCATGGAATTTTGCAGGCGGCCCCCTTGCCGCCCTGGGGGAGGGCGATTTTATACTGTGCTCTATATTTTTGTATAAATATCAATAGTTATCAAATCTTTTTATATTGAAAACTATACAAGATTAAAATCTCCAAGACTGGTAAAATACAATTTTATTATTTTTTAGGGCATATTTGGATTGTTACCGTACAAATATTTTGTTAGTGCCAAAATATAAGCAAGTTTTGGCACTACCAAATATTTGGTAAGGTAAAATTGCATTTGATCATATTTGGTTTGCTGCCAAAATGTAAAATTATAGTGAAGAATGTTCTACATAATCTCAAATCTAGATTACGTATTACCAATGAATAGGCTTCCATTTTCGTGTGTGGTGTGCTACTGGGAAAGAAGATATGAAGAGGTTGCCTTCAGATTGTCAATTATATAGCGTCGTTTTCACTGCAATATATGTGAACTCAATGAGATACATTATTCATTAGATGTGACAAGACGATCACGCGTGGGCGTGATTCACTTTATGTCAACAGGCAGCGCCGAAAGTTGATAGTGATAACTCGAGCTGCCGCTTTTCATGTGTGCTGTTGTGGACTGTGCGCGCTACTGGATCTGACACTACCGTGAAGCGCCGAAAGTGTGTTGTCGTGAGCATAAGTTGTTCTAGCACCATATGAATGAAAAGAACTATGTAGACGAGACAAACACAAGTAGTACTGCAGTAGTAATAGCAAAAGTAGTACTGCTTTACAAGTTTGTAAGCCAAAAGAAACGGTCACATAAGGACTGAAGAGGTAGAACACTACTGACGAGGCCTCTTACCCCTGTCCCTCCTACCCTGCGCCCTAATGTGCCCATGGGAGTACGTGAGTCGGTCCGGGGGTACGGCACGGCCAACCCGTCCTGCCTGTACAGGTGTGACCTCTGGCTGCTCCTGAGTGTGCGCCTCTGGAGCTCCTCCAAGCTGAGAGGAGCCTAGTACGTCGTGGTGGTGTGCACCGTGCAAGTCGTCGTCGTAGAACTGGCTAGTAGGACCAGCCTTACCGGCGTGAGACGAAGAGGCCCCAGTACCGAAGATCCCGGCTGCAAATCCTGCTGGACAAGGACCATCAGTTTCGTACAAGTATTTAACAGTAGTAATAAAAAGTAAAGTACCGTGTGGGCGAGGGATCGACGCTCCGTGAGAGGAAGAGCTGGCGAACGCGCCCGAAGAGGTGGCGAACGCCCCTGCGGAGCTCGCGGAAGCGCCGATCGTGCCTGCGAACGCGCTCGAAGGCAGACGAGGTCCTGCGATGAGGAAACGTGCAGTTAAAACATGGTGACATATTCGTGCAAAAGCTGAAACAAAAATGAACTAATATCTGGGCTGAACTGTACCGTACGAAACCGGTGCTGTAGGTCGCACTGCTCCGAAGCTAGGGGCGCTCGAAGGCAAACGAGGTCCTGCGAGGATGGAACATCAAGTTACGACGGGGTGATGTTTTCGTAGAAAAACAGAAACAAAACTTAAGAAACCTCTGGGCTGAGCAGTACCGTGCGAAACAGGTGCCGTAGGTCGAGGTCCTGCTCCGACGGTAGGCGCGCGAGGCCGTGGTTGTACCGGACCAGCTGGAGGTACGACGTCCACGGCGCTGCGACAGGAGAAGACGCGCATGACCGCACGCATCTTCTCCTGCATCCGGTCGAAGGTCACCCTCTGCTCAACGTCAGTCAAGTGCAAACCTCTGTTCAACCTCACTTGGACTGCGGTGATATCGGCACTGATATCCCGTGCGGCATCAGCCTATGCAAGATGGAAATAAAAAATTCAGTAGTTGTCCTATATTATGCAAGATAAATGAAATAATTGTAAGAAGTAATACAAATTGGACGTACCGCCACGAAGTAGTCTCGGTCACGGTGCGTGGGATACGCGTCCGTGACAGCGGCAACGTGCGGCTCTGGGGCGTCTGGAGTGAAGGTCACACGCGCACGAGTGCGAGGAAGGTACCAGCGAAGGTAGTCACGGTAGTTCTCCTCCGTGTGTGGGAAGAGCTCGTTGATCACCTCCTCTGTAGCTAACACCCAGTCGTCAACGTACTGCTGTACACGTGGAGCCCAAAGTGCGCCTGCTAGCTGTCCCCGTCGAGTCAACCTGTGAAGAGAGGTAAATTATATGGCTCGATGAAGTAATCCGCCTAAAAATTTAGAAATGAACAATCCGAACTCACGAGTGGTCGGCAGGGAGGACGGTCGGCTGCACGTTGCCCGGAAACACCTGCCTAAGTCTGAACTGTCTCATCACACGCTGCGGGCAGTGAGGCTCAACGAAAATGTCGAACACCATCGGCAGGATGGTGAGCCAGTAAGCCTGGTCGCGTGTGCACAAGGACGAAAGTCCTAGCGGTGCTCTCGCAGCGACGGCCTCTTCTGTGTACGGCTCCCAGATGACGTCGCTCGGCTGGAGACGGTCAAACTCGAACACGAAGTCCGGGTAACCACGTCTCACCTGGACGTGAGCGTAACGACGCTGCAATAAACATGATCGGAATTAGACATGTTATGTGAAGAAAAAAAAAGAAGACGACTCATAAACTTATAACGCAGCGAAGTTGCACTAACCCCACGTCGACACCAGTAAGTCCCCATCGTGGGACCGTCCTCTGGCCACTGCGCGCTGCGACCAACCCCGTAGGATGCGCTGTCCACCACTGGTCGACCTATGGCAAACCTCTCGGCTGCCCAAAGCTGAAGCAACATAGGGCAGCCAGCGATGATCGCTCCCGCGTCAGTCTTCGTGCACGCCTCACAGAGGGCACGGTACGTGGCTGCTAGCACGGCAGAACCCCAGCTCCACTGCGGCACGTCCTGTGGCTGAGCATCCGCGATGGACCGTGCGTAGTGGACCAGCCGGAAGTCCACAGCGTGCCCGTGGGTGCTAGTGAACATCACCCACCCGAACAACCACAACAGGTACGTCTCAAGGGAGCGTCGGACCGAGTAATCATCAGCGTCAGGGTGCAGAAGGTCCGCCTACAATTAAGAATGAAATGTTAGTACAAAACACTCATCCGGTCGCAAATAAGCATGTATGATAATAACAACTTATTTACTTACAGTGAACTGGAGCAACCAAGCCTTGCTAGGCCCGACTGTAGAGTACGGAGGAAGGGTGTTGGCCGGTCCTAGGTGTGGAAGGCGCATCACCTGCTCGAAGCGCGCAGTGATATCCTCCTTCCACCCAAAAACACCGTCCACGGGACCAACTGGTGCTCCCGCCAGCGGTAGCCCGAGCAGGTACGACACGTCCTGCAGTGTCGGAGCCATCTCCCCACAGGGAAGGTGGAACGTGTGCGTCTCAGGTCTCCAGCGGTCTACAAGAGCGGCAAGGAGTGACCGGTCTGCATCCCACCGCTTCGCTGGGTCACGGTCGTCCGCCGCCGCCTCAACAAGCCTACAAAGTGGTAGAAGGCCTGCCGCACGCAACCTGTATAGAGCAAACTTCAAACATAAGTACAACACAAAGCAAAGTTGAGTTGAAATGTGAACATACGCGTACCAAGGAACGTGACGGGGGTCGACACGCAACCACTCGCGCGACGTGCGTGGACGGAAGGTGCCGAGCTGTGCACCCTCGACTGCTGACAGGAACGAGCGGTGGTTCCTGTCAATCCCACGGTTCAATTGCGCCGGTGTGTCGTACGCCATACCTGCATCAAATAGGTTGATCAGAAACATATAAATAATTAGTTCAACATAAGTAATAAATGTTCATAAGCGAATTACTAACACATATTAAACAAGAGTACAAACAAACAAAAGTGTTTAGTCCGAACACTCATCACGATAACATTATGATACAACACCGAATAGTTCGCAATACTACTAGTACAACAATAGTCGGAGGTACTCATTACAACAACATTGAATTGAAATTACACGATAGAAGTATTTAGTCCGAACACTCATTACATCACAACAGCATTTTATTTCCTAAATCGAAAGCATTGTTACACCATGGAATCGCCTGCTGCGCGACGACGCCTTGGCCTTGCGCGCCTGCTTGTTGTTCCTTCACCAGGTGGTCGCCTACCATCACTTGCCTGTCCAGATGGACTAGCATCTGCGCCGCTTGGAACTTCTGCATTCTTCGGGCATTTCTTGTAAGTATGGCCGCGCAGATCACACTTGCTGCAGCGTAAAGTCCTCCCACCTGCTTCTGACTCATCCATATCATTTCTGATGCGTCTAGTTTGGCGTCGACCCTTTTTCACCCTTAACTTAGATGGATCTGGAATATAAAAAACTTGGGCACTCAGCGTTGTGTAAGATCCTGAGATCCCGAACCCATATATCTCCTCACTCCATGTATGAAAGATTGCTTCTTTCCTGAAATAATTTGAGACGTACACATTGGGAGATATGCCACAATCACCGGCAGCAGCAAGAACGTGTGAGCAAGGAAGGTGATGAAGCTTCGGCTTCATACAACTGCAGGTACATCCACCATCCGCCTTCAAGACACATTCCTGCACGGCTTGCTTGCGATAGATACCACGCCTGCTCCTATCAACACACATTATTTCATACCGATGCACTTGTGTGCCTTGAGCAACAACTCGATGTCTCCGTGCCTTTTTGATTTTATCTTCCATGTACTTTGTCACTACGTTGCCAAACACTATGTTGTTATCGGCCATGGACGGACCAATTTTCTTGTATCGATCCCTAAAGTACGCTTGCGTGCCGTGAAGGATGAATTCAACAATAGCAACCAATGGAAGTACCCGAACTCCTCGCATTACCCAGTTGTACACCTCTGCCAAATTGGTTGTCATTATGCCATACCGAGATCCATCGGTGTCGAACAATAGAGACCACTTCTCCTTAGGCTCATTCTCAATCCACTGAGTGAAATTTCTGATGGACGACCCTGACCTCCTTCTCATTGTTGGTGGGTCATCATGTAATGCACCAAGAGGTATGGGAGGCTCGTCACCTTCAACTAGTGGTCTGCGAGATTGCTCATCTGTTTGCTTCGTTGTCAACTCATCCAACTTGTCCCACAACTCATTAAATTTCTTCTCTTGGTTCTGTGCACAGAGCCTCTTAAAGAGCTCCATAAGATGCTTGTTCTTGAATTGCTTGTAGAAATTTGCACCCATGTGACGCATGCACCACCGACTCCGAACATCAGGCCACTTAGCTAGAAGTCCCTTCTCATCCCAACCGTTCTGCAAGTAGTCAATAGCCCGCAACATACCCGCATGACGATCATGTATAAGGCAAACGTTGGGCCTCATACGCACCACTGCAATGTGCACTCTCTCTAGGAACCAGTACCAGCTTTCAGTGTTCTCACTCTCTACAAATGCAAAAGCCATAGGTAGAACCTGGTTGTTCCCATCACACCCAATTGCTGTCAATATCTGACCTCGGTATTTACCTGTCATAAAAGTTCCATCTATGCATAGAACAGGTCGACAATGCACAAAAGCATTGATGCAAGCACCCAATGAGAAAAAGGCTCTTTGCAGCACACTCTTTGTTCGATCATCAACCGATGTAAATGTATGTAGGTCATAGTACGTATTATTATTCCTCTGGGCAATGGTGGCTAACAAACGAGGCAAATTATCATAAGAAGCTTCAAATGTGCCATACCTCATCTCAATGATCTTTTGTTTGGCTCTCCAGGCCTTTGCATAGCTTATGGTGTACTTGAATTTGTTCTCAATGTGCCTAATAATTGATTTTAGTTCAAAGCCAATGTTACCAACAACACTGCTGTACATCTCACTTGCCACAAAAGCTGAAGTGATGTTTCGGTGATACTTCTCCACCCCTTGTAAGTAGCACTTGTGCTCAGTCACAATGCTAACTTTCCAATAATCATTCCATTTACCCTTATATGCATGGACACGCCACGGACAATCTTCCTTCATGCACCTCACTTCATACACATAATTTGTTGACTTGACCACCCTAAACTCTCTCTGCAAGGAAACCGCCCAATGCTTCACCGCCTCCTTCATCTCATCCTTATGAGCATACCTTGCACCCTCAATTACCTCGTTCTCCTTATACTCCCAGGGTACATGATCACCCTCTGATATAACAAGTCCAGAGAAGTCCTCATTTGCCCAATCAGTGGCCATTACATCACCTTCCTCATCGGATGATGCGTCGTCGTCCGCTTCCTCATTATCCGAATCTTCCCTCTCCATTTCATCAACAATTATACCGACTCTCTCCCCCTCATCCGCCATGCCCATAGCCTGCTCCTCCCTTGGTTGATTTTCCTCATTTTGCATCGATGGTCCAACAACATCCCCTGCATTGATAGGACCCTCTACATCTTCGGTTTGCATTGAAACATTTATATCTTTCTCTTGTACCGACACAAATATAACGAGGGGCCATGACCGTTCAAAAGCCATTTCCACATACCGTCTCCAAGCATCAGTGCTGTCCATCGGCATTAGTTCCCAAAAATAACCTTCTGTTGCACGACTCACTACAACTGACACTGACATTGTGTAGACTTCTTGGTCTATTCTAAATCCTCTCAACAACCAACTATAAATTGACTGAAATGTTCTCTCCGCAGGCCTATCGATGCCCTTAGATGTCATTACAAAATCTGACAGATCAACACCATCTGGACCAAATCTAATATTTCCTTCACCGTGAACTATCTGAAATGTGACCTTACTTGACATTGTGCCTGATGAAAACAATAACTGCGTTAACCTCGCATTTCTGTACTACGCCCTAAGTTACATTCTCTACAATATTGTTCTCTAAATTTCTAAAATTACGTTACATTCTCCAGATCAAACTAAACTACATCTTACAATTAACACTACTGTCTATGTCTCAATTCATACTATTATATTCTATGCTCTGGATCTACACATATGTGCTGTGTGCTACAGATGTGCTAAAATATATGGAACTAAAACTAAAACGCAACATATATACTCAAACATAACATATTAGTACAAATGCAAAAGATGTATGGGAGCATACCTGTGATGAATTGAGCGAACCAGCAGGGCTTCGCCGCTCCCCTTCTGCTGCCCTCCCCTCTCTCTCTTTCGTTTTTTTGGATTTTTAGTGAATATAATGAAATTTCACAGAGGAGGGACTGGGCTTTATAGGGAGGAGGCAAAAATCGCCCTCCCCCAGGGCGGCAAGGGGGCCGCCTGCAAAATTCCATGCCCCCTCGCCGCCCATTTGCAGGCGGCCCCCCCACAGTACAAAATCGCCCTAGCGGAGGGCGGCAAGGGGGCCGCCTGCAAAATTCCATGCCCCCCCTCGCCGCCCATTTCCAGGCGGCCCCCCGCACAGTATAAAATCGCCCTAGCGGAGGGCGGCAAGGGGGCCGCCTGCAAATTTCGTTGACGGCCGTCGCCCGAGAGCGAACGGCCGTCTGCCACGTCATTTTCGCCGCCCTCTGAGAGGGCGATTTTTAAAAATCGCCCTCCCAGAGGGCGGTAGGCGACTACTTCCGTCAATTTTCAAAATGGAAAATTATTTTTGTAAAACTTTTAATAAAAAAATTATAAATAAAAAAAATTCGGATTTTTCAGCCCAATCAGAAAAGGGAAGGCCCATTTCCCCTCCCATCCCTTCCCCCCGCGCGCCGCTCCTCCTCACCGAGCCGCCGCCGTCGCTCCTCCTCGCCCCACTGCCGCCGTCGCCGCTCCTCCTCCTCCTTGCCCGTCGGCCGTGGATGCAGAAGACGAAGGAGGTGAGGTGGTTGACGGCGGCGGAGTCACCGTTGCCTCCTCCTCCCGACGCCGTCGCCCCTTCGCCCGTCGGCCGTGGAGGGGGGAGACGAGGGAGGTGAGGTGGTCGACGGCGGCGGCGTCACCGCTGCCTCCTCCAGGCGCCGCCGCCCCTTCGCTCGTCAGCCTCCCCGCGTGCGTCTGCCTCCCCGCCGTAGCCGAGAAATTTGGGATTTTTTTTTAGAGAAGAAATTTGGGATTTTAGGGTGTGTTTCGGAAATGGGTTAGGAGATGTGAGATTGGGAAATGCAAATGAATGGAGGAATAAGATGAAGTGAGGTTAGATAAATGTATGGCTAAGATTAAAACTTACTCTTTGGGAGGTGAGAAATCATATCTCAAACCCATTTTCCAAACATTGCCTTACTATCGCAAACGATGGTTTCGCTGGAATACTATTGCTTCAAAGTGATTCATTAAAATACTATTCTAATTTTGAGAGGTGTTCCTAAAAATAGTGTTTTTATTTTTTTGTGAATAGAAATGTTTTTGCTCTATTTTGTTTTTTCCCAAGACAAAAATACCCCTGATGCAGGCCCCACCTGTCATACTCACTCACCTCTCTTTTCTCCTCTTTCTCGGGAGCGGCGATAGCCGGCTGCCGCCGGTGGGCGTGACGAGGGCACAGCAGGCGTGGCGGGGAGGCCGGCGTCGACCGAGCGAGCGAGCGAGCGCCCCGACGTTTCGGTGACGGCCGCGGCGACCCAGCAGCGCGAGCAGACGAACATGGCGGCAGTGGTGGCGGCACACGTCCTTGTCTTCCCGGCGCTGGGGTGGTGGTGGCGCAGCTCCGGGGATGCCGCGACGAGCAGCCTGACGAGCACTGGCACGAGCTCCCCACGCACGAGCTGCACCCGGTTCGTAGGCTCCAGCGAGAGGTTGACCACGCACGCGGCGGCGCTGACCTTGACGCCCTCGTGAGTGGACCCTGTCAGCCGGCGCAGCTCGTCGAGCAACTGCGGCATGCAAAGCGCGTGCCTCAGCCTGTTCCCGCCGCCACGTAGCGTCTGCTTCAGCGCCCTCGAGCGCGCCCTCCTACTCGGCTCATCGTCGAGCAACCTCACCAAAACAACCTCCTCCTGGGTGAGGCGGAGGAGGAAGAGAAAGATGAGCAGCTGGTTGACGGGATGCGCAAGCCATTTGAGTGATGCGTCGTGGATAGAGGCAGGGGTAATTTGGTCACAAGACAAAACAAAATAGAGCAAAAAAAATAATATTAACAAAAAGACCAAAAAAAAGTATTTTGGTGAACACCCCTTAGTTTAGGGTAGCATTTTAATGAATCACTTTGAAGCGATAGCATTCCAGCGAAACCATCCTTTTGCGATAGTAAAATGCCAAATTTCTCGCCGTCGCCGCTGAGGCCGACGGCGACGGCGACGGCGTGTCAGCCATCTCCATCTCTTTCTCTTCTTTTTTTAATGTGTATATGACATGTGGGCTCCGCTTGTAAGCGGGACTAGTTATTTCAAAAGCCACAACTGTTGAACCAAACGAGTTTTTCCAAAAGCCACAGACCTATTTCACAGCTACTTTTCAAAAAGCTATAGCCCACAGCTACTTTTTCAAAAGTCACAGCTCAACCAAATACAGCCTAAATTTACATAACAGGAGGCATCAAAAGTGGATAATAATCTAGCAATATTCTTCTCCTCACATAAGAATAATTAATCTCGACATCACAATTTAGCCCAAAGATTATACAATGTGATATAATTAACAACTCTCGTATCCTCAAACGCTCTACAACAACAACTCAAATTACTCACATGGATAACTCCAGTACTTAATCTCATCCTCCAAAAAAAACGCCCAAAAAAGCTCTCAACCACTGTACAGAAATATGCCTAAGTTCTTCAGACACTGTGCTGCTGTGCTGTATCTGGAGACCATTAATTAATGGTGCTCAAGATGATAACGATGCCCTTGCCCCATTCTGCATCTCCCAACTGTAGCTCTCCGACTTCCCGTCATCCTCTTCCTCCTCCTCCTCCTCCTCGCCGCCGTCGCAGCTATCACCAGCGGTCACCGACACGGCGTGGCTCGACGACACGGTGAGTGCAGGGGACCTGCAGTGAGCCGGACTGCGACGTGTTGTGCTGCAAGGTGGTGTATTGCTCCGGTGGCGGCGTCCACAGACCGCCGCTGTCACCACCGCAGTCGGATGCCCGCCGCGTGTGCAGCCAGTACTTCTCCACGATTTGCTTTGAGATTCGTGAGTTTTTTTTTCTAAAAGAGGTGTACCGAATTGTTGCCATCGACATATGGCAATTTTTTTAGGTTGTAACAGTAGGAGCTGAGATTGAACAAATGTGCAGGTGGCTTTTGACTTCATCATCAGTGAGACCATCAACCTTCATCAGCCCTAATCTGTTTAGGAGTTGCAGCTGCATCAATAATAATAAAAAAACATCAAGCAAGTTTTAGCACACCAATAAAAAAATAATCAAACAATTTTATTAGGAACAATCAACAATGTGACAACAAATTCAATCATCTCAACAGTTCAGAAAGAAAATAAAATAACCTAAAAATTATTATTGGGAAAAAAATTCTAATCTAAAAAAATGTGGCAATTTGCACAATTTGGGTTGATGAGAATGAGATCATCCTCACCTTGTGGGCCGTCGAGGCGCTGGAGCGTGGCGACGAACCGGCGGTGGAGCTCCGGCGACCAGCATCGCCTGGCCTTCCGTTGCACCGCCTGCTGCTGCTGCTGCTGCCGCCGCCGCTGCACTCTGGCGACATCCGTGACGGCGCTGCTGGTGACGCTCGCCGGTGCCGCCGGACATGCCGGGGAGGAGAGGGACAGGTCTGGCACGGCCGCCGGCAATGGCGTGGCGGTGGCGGCTTTCTCCGGTGATTTTGCAAACACCGGTGAGGTGGCCAGTGGCATGAACGCATTGGACACATGATGATTTGAAATTGACATAATTGGTTAGGAAAAAAAACTCTATTTCAGAAAAGTTAGCGAAAAATACAGACAAATATATATGAGACTGACAACACAAGCTATGCGTGCTCAACATGTGTTAATATTTTCTTGGTGGAATAATAACATAGAATTTTTTTTATAAAACTGAGAAAAAAAATGGCAAATTACAAGAAACTGAATAAAATGAGTTTTTTATTTTTAATAACCTCTTTGTTATTTTATGCTGTATTTTTCCATTTCTATTCTACATGGTGATCCGCGAAAAAAGCTTCTCCTCTTTCTAGTTATATAATACGTATGAACTTATATGATGAACACTATTCAACGACGTTGCAAAAAAAAGAGAGAGAGAAGATTATCCTTTTCTTTTCATTTTTTATAAGTTGGATGGTTTCATGGATATTTAATGAGAATTACTTTCGTACATTATCTTTTAAAATTATTTATGATAGATATTATGGTTTTAGCTACCAGTAATGGATATTATGTTATGTGCTTTATTATATTGTGAAACGAGATGAACTTATAAGTATATATTATGAGAGTGTTTGTTTTCAATTTTAATGTAAAAAAATTTGCGATAGCTAGGATATCATCTCGACGTTAGAGAGTCCGATGAGATATGGCAATATCAAATATTTGTTAGTCAAATGAGTCATCTTATTGGCGTATATCCTTACCATGTCAGCAACCAGCGTAACTGCCACATCACGGGTGTAAAGTGTCTTGTCGTCAACTACTCTGGCACGAAGACATTTAACTTTGGCACTAATGTTCCTTACGTGCTAGTGTGTGTGTATATATATATATATATATATTTGAAAGGAGTAAGTTTTTTCAGTCTATTTATGAATGAATTTTTGAAAAGGACCGAAATGTAAAAATCCAGCCAAAATCATTGTGCGGCCCTGGTGCTCGGCGTCGACTCCCGTCTCGTCTCCTCGCGAGCTCGCCCACCCGCCGCCCTGCGCCGATCTCCATCGATTCCGCGACTTCGCGAGCAGTGGCGCCGTCGTCCGTCCTGCTGCTTCCGCCGCATCCTGGTGAGCACCCCGATCAGTATGCCTCATGCTCTTTCTCATCTCTCTGTACCCTACGAACCCTTTTCTCGAATTTGCGTGCGTTAACCCTAGCTTCTGTTCTAGATCTGAAATTTCCCCTTAATTTGCCTTAACCTTAGTACTATTAACAGTTTGTTTGTTCGCGAAAAAGGTTTGGGGGTTCAACTGAACCCCCTATGTCCCTCGTTAGATCCGCCCCTGCCCGGCAATGGGCAGCATGGACACGCCAAGAGGAACAAAATTTTTTCAATGCGCTGCGCCAAGTAGGGAAGGTAAGACACATACGTTCTTGATGCAATGTTGTGCTGTTCTTGCGAATTACTGCGTTTGTGCACTAATCGATTGATGCGTGATGTCTTGTCCTTTGTGTCAGAATTTTGAGAAGATTACGCTGCGTGTCCAGAGCAAAAGCAAAGATCAGGTACACCATCTTCAGACAAGAACTATTTTATGATGTTTAATTTCTGTTATTAACAAATTAGGAATTTAAAGCAGAGGTCGATATGTTTAGATCGTAAATTTAGTACGCCTTTATGATACTTGTCATTATTTATTTAACTGATTACCCGGGGTCTTCTGGCTAGCATCACAAGGTGGTGGTCTAGCCGGTCAGGGTTCGAGCCTCATTCCTCTTAATAAATTCCGATATAAGAGCCCCTCCTCTCATATCCAACGTTATTTAACTGATTAGGAAAGTCGAAGGAGAGGAAGATTCGCATTAGGCAGTAAATTTTAATTCTATGAACTGTTGTAAAGGACTTTCCCTTCGACGGGATGTCAATTAGAGTTGAGTAAATGAATTTTACGTTGAGAAAAAAGATTACAAGTAACCGGCGTAGGGAAACTACATTTCCAAATATGGCCTTTGTTGTTGCTTGACATAGTGCCAGTATCCCTTCAGCATATACGTACCATTTCCGTTGATTTCGTGGGAGAAGGGTGAGTGGATTGCAATCTCCATCCTTGCATTCCCATCAGGATTAGGTACTTTCACTTGCAGCAGATCTCTCTTCCTGACTTGCTGTTACATACAACTGATTCGACTTATTTTCCATCCTTAAGTTTGTATAGGTGATGCTGTTATGGGCAACTCCAACTTTCGAGCATGGTGCAAAGAACCGGCACTATGTTTTGTTTAGGTTTAGTTGTATCTTAGTACTATCCCCTTGGATAGATAGAATGAAGTGAGGTACTTTCCTCACCATCTTAGCACAAGCCTTATAGCACAAGTCGCACACCTCACCTAATATGCTGCACCTGGAATAGCTTGAGGAATTTTCCCACAGTGCGTGTTGCCTGATCGTCTAAGTGTTCCCTGTGAACTACGATGTGTATGCTTTAAAGCGGTAAACACCAAAAGGTCAAAACAGTTCTCTCTACGACAATTGATTGTCTTTTACACCATCATATGGGTAGCATAATTTGTAACAGATGCTTCATTGTATATAAACAATATTTGCATAAACTAGAGAACACCTGAATGTCTGCCATTGGCATGAAGATTCACTGTATTTTCAACTTTTCACATTACAGGTCAGACATTATTACTATCGTCTTGTTCGACGCATGAAGAAACTTCTCGGTCCTGAGTTCTCGCTCGATGCAAAAAATTCCAAGGACACCATTGCTGCTATGCTCTGCTGGTAATTAAATGAATCCCTACGTGCAAATCAATCTGATTAGGTGTGCTTTAAGCTTCTTGTTCTATTAATTTATATATATAGCATGATTGCAAAAGGTAGTATTTGATCTCACAATATCGCTGAGGTATCTTTGCGATATATATTCTTTTCCTAGTAGGCTAAGAACGCACATACCTTATCTTTTTAGTTTATAGAGGACGAGGCTATAATTTTATTTTACCTTATTACAGTTATGGGTCACTGCTGTAATACCTAGAGTGCTAGAACTATTGGGCCTTCGTGCTGATATTGTGTATACACCTTATCATGTTTGGTGCCTATATTTTAAAACTGTCAGAACTGTTCAATCAAAATGGTTTCTGAGCTTTGGAAAAAAAATCATATTTCTGAGTTCAGAATATGATTCTGAACAAAGAAAAAGTCTTTTGATGACAAAAATTGCACAACTGAGAATGTACTTTTACGATTAGGAGTGCTTGGATCAGCAGGGAGGGCTTTTAATATTTTTTATTCTGATGCAGAATGCCCTCTTGTCTATGTGCAAGATGGGAGAGAATACCGTTTGTTGCTTATTGTCATTGCTTTTGATTTGATCCTATGATGCTTCCTTTTACACTGCATGGAAAACTCTCAGATACTAACTTGGTTTTATGCAGGTGGTCTCTGCTTGAAAAATTTAGCTGCAGTGCATCAAAACTGCATCTGAAGCCTCGGAGATTCAAAACTTTCGTAGAAGCATTGGTTTGTTACAGCACTTGTTATTCTCCCAGCTTTTCATAATTGTAGGAACTGTTCTTTTTTTTTATTTAGTTTTTTTTCTCATGTGATATATCCAACTTTATAGGGAAATCAACTACTAAAGGATAGAAATAAAACCAGAAAAAAGTGTCCACGTGGGGATGTGTGCCTGTCCTCTTCATCTTCGGCTGTCAACAGGACTCCTGGAAATGAATCTTTCTCAGTAAAACTCTTGGCTGTGGATGTCTCCAATGGTAGCAAAGTAGGATCTTCTAAAGGGTCATTTTTCAAAAAGGTCACAGAACCAAATTGCAGTAACAAGTCAGGTGCAACTAAAGGGGACCTCTCCGCCACAAGAACTGTGAAACAGAAAAGAAGAGCAGGTTACAATGCCATTTTTCTTTTGGTTTGATATGGTTTAGCTTACTCATATTTTGTCTTATGCAATATGCAGTTTGTATGTTTTAGCAGCTAAGCCTTGACAATAAAATATATTATATGAAGACCATATAGTGTTGAGCTTTCCTCACATTAGTTTTGAGAGCAGCTGACCTGTGTTTTAGGTGGTGTTGTTGCATCTGCTGCATATAAAAAATGGGAGAGAGCTGCCATGGCTGGTGTTTCTTTGGTTGCTGATGCAGCTGAAGAGCTTGAGCGCAACACAGTGAACGCTGATGCAAGAATGTTATCTCCATCATCAAGCAATGCCTGCACAGTTGATGGTACTATTTCATACCATTGCTTTGTACTTCCTATATTTACTACACTATGTTTCTATGCTTTCTTGACTATAAATGGCTGGGTCTTGATGTTTTATTCTACATTGGCAGGTCTTGGCACAAATCATATAAAGGAAGCAGATCAACAAGCACCTGCAAAGCTAAAGTTGCAGCTATTTCCAATAAATGAAGCTACACGAAAGGCATTAGAGAAGGTAAATATGTCTCTTTGTTGCTAGCAAACTGCAATATGAAATTATGAATCACAGTGCTATAGGTTAACTATTGGCTCAAACACTCAGATCCCTGTGGTTGATAAAATTTCTTCTGATAAATGGAATCAAACGGAACGTGGAGCACAAATAACCTGATTAGGGCTTTTGCGTTATGAATTTTCTATCGTGTCTGATATATTCTGTTCAGTTTTCATATGTTAGCAGTTTGGACATGATATGACAGTCCTGTCTCTTTTTGACAGGATGAACATAATCCACATCTGGAACTCACATTAAGTGCTAGGAAAAAAATATCATCAGTACTAGAACATTTGAACCGCAAGTGGGGCAACTCAAACATTGCATCTGGAGAGCTTTTGCTTTTTCCATATTGTGCTCATCAAGAAGATTTAGCTACATATCAGAGGTGGACCACAAAAGATACTGTCGCAGTGGCTGACGTTTTCCTTTCTGTGAATAGCCCATCTGTTTTTCGATTAAGGTACGGATTTTCAGTGTAGTAAACGAACTATAATATTGTAATACATGGGGCAATAATAACAAATACTAACTGTTGTTCCAACTTTTTGTCAATAAGGTATGGTTGGTTTTCCCTTGCTGAGCTTGAAGCAGGCGTAAGTGAAATATCTTTGACTCATTTTGAGAATTGCTTGATACCTGAAGACATCCATGCCAAATCTCCCTTAGAGGCTTGTGTGCAAAAGGATGGTAATTCGCTCAGTAGTTGTGCTCCTGAGCAACACCCTTGTGGTTCGAAAGATCAGTCAGCATTATTGTTTGCTATGCCATCTAGTACAGGCAAGAGTGCTCAGGTGCCAGAGCAGTGCATTGATGTTCTCCCCTCACAGTTTGGCAGGCAGAATCAAGACCAAGTTACCACGAACCAAGTTTTTGAGGTACTACAGTTTTGTGCATACTTTTGTCAAGTGAACATTCCAGTGATAATCGTGTATCTTCTAATTGTTTCTGTACTTCAGGTTGATCAAGGGATGGATTGTGCTGCAGTATCTGAAGGAGAGTGGGCAGATACCCTTACTGATATCAGTGTTGGATACTTACTGACAGAAGCTTCCAGAGGTGCTAATACTGATTGTCCAGGGACATCTGTTGTCAAAAACACACTGTTGCTTGAGAATCCCTGCAGCTATGATTCATTTGATGCTGCTGTTGCTCTTCATGCTTCTCGTTATAAATCAGCAGAGCAGCCAGCCCTTGCATCCCATTCAACCATCTGGGGTGCTGAAGAAACCTGTGACGCATTCAGTTTTAACCTACCAGCATCTAGGAAGCGAGAAGGTTCAAATAATTCAGCTAGCAGCTCTCCCGATAGTGACAGTGATGTTCATCCTTCAAACTCAGAAGGGTTTCAATGTTTTCTTCAGGTTTGTTCCATTTATTGATCCAACCTAGAATAATAAACATTTTTTTATACATAGTATTGTTAATTTATGACTTATTTGGTGTTGCAGGACTTAGCTGGAGCGGCGGTTGCTCATAATCCTTGTATTGACGATGCCAAAGATGTAGAGTCACTTTGTGCTGAATCGCCACCTCGAAGTGACCACGATTCTGCTCCGAAGGATCAATCTCTAGCTGACTTATACTGGGTACTATACAAATGTCCTATCCATACCTGTTTTCTTTTCATGGTGTAATGCTCATAACTAAACAAT